CAGCCTCATTTTTTCAGCACCATGTCACCAGGAGGAAGGTCCCCAGATCTTTTTCAAATGAATGGCTGCCTAGCTTTTCCACAACCATCTTTTCAACTTGATATTTTTGGAACCCAAATGCAGGACTTTACATTTTTGCCTATTATATTCCATCTTACTAAATTTGGCTTGGTGTCCTGACTCTGCCTTCCAGTGTGTTAACTCTCACTCTTGGGTTTGTGCCATATGCATATTTAATAAGTGTGCCCTTTCATTGTTTTTGTTTACTTTATTGTGATTATTATATAAATTGCTCTGAATTCATCATATTTGTTATTTCTTATGAAACAATAATATTCAATTCCACCACAATTTGTTAAATCATTCCTCAATTGATAGGTACTCATTTGTCATATCTTTGCTGTCAGAGAAAGTGTTGTTCCCTTCTCAGCAATGTAAGGATCTAAGATATCTCCAAATGTCTCATGGTGGAAAATGCTATCCACATCCAAAGAAAGAACTATGGAGTTTGAATGCAGATCAAAGCATATGATTTGCTCTTTTTTCTTCTTCTTCTTTCTTTTTTCTTTTGTTTCTTCTTTCTTGTGGTTCCTTCTGTTGGTTCTAATTCTTCTTTACAACATGACTAATTGTGAAAATATGTTTAATAGGAATGTGTATGTATAGCCTATATCAGATTGCACACTGTCTTGGGAAAGGAGGTGGGGAGGGAGGGGGAGAAAAATTTAAAACTCAAAAGCTTATGGAAATGATTGTTGATAAATCAAAATAAAATAATTAACAAACAAAAAAGAAAAGAAAATGTGTTATAAAATGTTTTGTGTGTGTGTATATATAGATATATCTATATCTATATCTATATATATCACCTAATTATTGAGAAGTGATAGGATCATAAAATTAGATCTGGAGGAGACCTTAGAGGCCATCAAGTTCAGTTCTCTCATTTTACATATAAAGAAACTGAGGCCGAGTGACTTGCCCAGAGTCACATAGCATGTAAGTGTCTGGAACAGGATTTGATCTCAAGTTTTCCTGACTCCCAAGTACAGTACTCTATCCTCTGTACAACCTAGCCATGTTGGCTTTTTGTGATTGATGCTTCCTAGTTGCTTACTAACTGTCCTTTTAATAATATGTTACGTAATTGCTAGGAATTAAAGCCTAGCTCACTGAACTAGACTCTAGTCTCTCCTTTTTTTTTTTTTTTTTTAAACTGGAATGATTGCCTTTCTCCAGATCTTTGGTACCTCTCCTGCTCTCCCTATCTTTTTTTTTTTTTTAAAGAAAAAAAACTCCAACTTTTATTAAAAGTTATGAAAAGCTTTGCTTTATGTTACTGTCATTTCCCAATAACTCTTCTTCACTCCACCCCCTAGTCCTTTTTTGTAACAAAAACAGTGAAGCATAGCAGATTTACCATACTGGCCATGTCTGAAAAATGTGTGTCTTTTTTTTTTTTAAGCACCTATAGTCTTCCACCTTTCTGGCCAAAAAGCTGGAAACATGCACATCCGACCTCTTAGGCCACAGCTGGTCACTGCATAAGTCAGAGTTCTGAAGTCTTTCAGTGTCGGTTTTATTTACATTACTGGGATCATCATGTAAATTATTCTGGTCTCTTTACTTTGCATTAGTTCATGCAAGTAGCCAGGTTTTTTTTTTTTTTTCTGAATTCTTCATATTTTCCATTTCTTTTTTTTTTAATTTCTTTTTTCTTTTTTTTTTTTTTAAAGTGAGGCAATTGGGGTTAAGTGACTTGCCCAAGGTCACACAGCTAGTATGTGTCAAGTGTTTGGTCTGAGGCCAGATTTGAACTCAGGTCCTCTTGACTTCAGGGCCAGTGCTCTATCCATTGTGCCACCTAGCTGCCCCCTTTCCATTTCTTAATAGTGAAATTCTATTCTGGTATATTTTTGTATACCATAGTTGGTTTAACCATTCCTCCGATTAATGGTTACTAACTGTCCTTGAAGTGCTTTGCTCAAAATTTATTATCAAAGTATATATCAATATATCAAAGTATAAGGACCACATTCTGATTGCTTTTTATTAGGTGTATGACCACATATAAGGCATTTTACCTCTAAAGTCTTCTCCAATTCTAAAGCTATGATACTACAATCCTGTGACCTCACATTTACTGCAAAGATTCACCCTCCTACTCTCAATTAACTGTGTTATTTCTAATTCTGAGCTGCATTAAAAAAAATTTTTTTTATTCTAACTCTAGAACATTTCTACCCAGAGCAGAACACAGAGAGTTCTGTATGAAACTGAATTTCCTTTTCACACCACCTGATTTTTTAAAAAGTGTATCTTTCATATTACTTTCAAAACTGCCTTTCTTGTCTGTTTCATTCTTAACTTCCTTCTTTTCTCATCTGTACATTTAAAAAAATATTATAATAGCTTTCTTTTTTTTTTTTGGCATTACTATTACTAGTTTCTCCCTGCCCCCCAAGTAAAACCTGAGGGAAAGATAGCCGGGGTGGGAGAAGGAGAACATGTAAAACCAGCAAAATCAAGCTAAATGGACTCACAGAATGGCCATGCCCCAAAATGTATCTCTTTGTACCTGGAATCCTTCCTCTCTCTGTCAGGATGTGGAAGCGGGTTTCATCCGAGGTCCTCTGGTGACACGGTTGGTCATTACACTTATCAGAGTTCTTGAATGTTTCAAGGCATTGCTCTCGTTGTATAAATTGTTCTGCTCATTCCACTGTGAGTCAGTTTATGCTACCCAGGGATTCACTAAATATCTCCTTTGCCATCTTACAGTACAATAATATTCCATTACATTCCTACACATAGGAATACACAAATGTGTACCCAAACACACTTTGTGTAACCATTCCTCAGCTAAGTCGAAGGCACCCTCTTAGAAGCTAGTTCTTTTCTCTTTTCCTTAGTCCACCCTTCAAGATCAGGAAGTTGTTTTGCTTGTGACCCTTCCTTTCCCAGTATCTTCCTCTGTCTTAACCCCTGCCTCTCCATCTTCACTGGTTTCCCTGTTTCCTTTCATGTATTTCTACAGCAGCTGTGTGGGTTTATTTAGATAGGAGAGTGGTTCATCTGATGCCCATTCACTTTTATTCTTTCCTTTATGTTTGTATCCTTTTCTTCTAACATAACCTAATGACGAGAAATAGCAAGTTTTACCCCTTTCTTCCTTGTTTTAACACTAGTATATTCCTCTTCCTACTTTCCTTTTTAAAACCCTCAAAAACAGTACCAGTTCATCCCCAGGACCTCTGCTTTTCTTATTTAACACTCCCAATGCTCTTTAAAGACATCAAGGTTATGAAGGGACACTTATTTCGTCTCCCTCCATTAAAATGTTAGTACAACACCATAAATATATTGCCCATAAATATGTTGCCCATAAATATACCTGTCTAGGTTTCTCTGGACTTTTGTGTTTGTATTTCAGAGATCCTATTCAGCTGTGGTCTTTTGATAAGAAATACTTGAAAGTCCTCTGTTTTATTAAAGGTCCATTCTTTCCCCTTGTGGGAGTAGACTCAACTTTACAAGTAAGTTATTCTTGGTTATAAGTTTATCTCTTTTGCCTTTTTGGAATATTCTGTTCTAAGAACTCCTCTCATTTATAGTAGAAGTTTACCTAGGTTTTGTGTGTTCTGGACTATGTATGGTTCCTTGGTACTTGAACTGCTTCTTTCTGGATGTTTGTAGTATTTTTTTTTTCTTTGATGTGAGAGCTCTAGAGTTGAAATTCCTGGAACTTTTCCTTTTGGAGTTCCTTTAAGAGAATGATAGATACATTTATTCTGTTCTTGTTTGTTTGCTCTTTGGCTCTGATAAATCTGGGCAGTTTTAAAGTCATGGTTTTCAGAGAGTCCAATAATTAATTCTTAAGTTATCTCTTGAACAATTTGCCAGATCGCTTGTTTTTTATATCAGATATCTTACATTTTCTTCTATTTCTTCATTCTTTTTATTTTGTTCTAATTTTTTTTTTTTTTTGCTGTCTTGGGGAGTCATTCATTTCTTTTTGGTCTGTTCTAGTTTTCAAGGAGCCCATTTCTTGGATAAAGTTTGTGACTCTCTCTTCGAAACTACTTATTCCCCTTCCAGTTCTATTCTAGAGATTTTATTTAATTTTTTAAATCTCTTACTTCATTTCTTCAGGTATTTATGTAACTCCTGTGGAAAATTCATTTTTTTCCTTTGAGTCTTTGTTTACAGTTGATATGGAGTTAGAGTTACAATAATTTTTTTAAATCTCTTTTGGTAATTTCTTTGATGCATTCAACTTTAGGTGCTGAATGGAGGGATTTGTGCTAGGTCAGGCTTTGTACCCTGCTGCACATTTGGGAAGGGTTATTGGCCCTGAGTGGTCCTGACCTGAATCCTTGTGCTGACTTCTCTGACTTCTGTTTACCAGGATTAGGCTCCCTTGGATCTTTGAGGTTCAGAGAACTACATCTTCCAGGCTCTCTCTGGACCTTGGAGCCATTGGGCCTAGGGAGGCCTTGTCCATGTGCTGTGGTAGCTGGTCTTTGCTCCTGGGGCCACCAAAACCCCATATTAGAGGTTTCTGATTACCCTGAGGTTTTGTGATATAATTGTATGGAGCCAAGTGGCTTTACAAAGTGTGAAAACAAAGTTATTTTCTTGACTTTTAAAATTATCTTCATATTTATAAAGGATATTAATGAGAACCTTTTTTCTTTGATGTTTGAACTGCTCAACGATCTTAACTGCTTCTAGGAAGAAACAAACAGAAGAGATCTCAATACAGTAATCTACAATTGAGGCTTATCAGTAAGAATAAGCCTGAATACGATGTATTTATTTGGTGCCATTCACTTAAGTTTCAGGAAAAACAAATTAAGAACAATCTCTTATTTTAGTTCATTGTTAAACAACAGTATTATACAAAGTGTAAATTTTAATTCTGTTCAGTAAAATTGACCTTTTTCAAAACAATTAAAAATGTGGTCTAAATTAATTTTAAATATGTGTTTTTCTCTTAGGATGCTAGGAAAGCATGTGGTGACACAACACTCAGTCAGGTAAAATATTATTTCTTAATATTCCCTTAATTATGTGTGACAAGTTGGCATTGAAAGAAAAAAGTCATCCTTACTTTAAACACCATGTAGGTCAAATTGCATGCGTGCTAAAAGACTAATAGATGCTACATAAAGTTATAGAAAATGTAAATGCAATAAAGGCATACTCTGCCTAACATCCTTAATTGTTTCAGAGAAATAGGATGTAAAATGCAATGATATTATAAGGGGTTCAGAGAGAGGCTGCTGCTGCTGCTGCTGCTGCTGCTGCTGCTGGACATGAAATGTGCCTCTGAAGTGCAAGGCAAATTTAGTATATCTTTCAATTATTAAATGAAAAAGGTAACAAAAGATTATTTCGAGGAGGGGTCCAAAAGCTTAACCAGCCTTCCAAAGCAGGATCCATGACACCAAAATAGTGAACCTTGGACTAGATGTTTTTGGTTTTTTTTTTTTTTAGGTTTCTTAAAGCTCCACTGACATAAGATTCTGCCATTCAATTTAAATCTTTAGTGAGCAGACCAATGGCTTCAGAGCAGGGCTTCAGTTATTACAGTAAGGTTTGATGGTGATATATTAATGATGGTAGTATGAAATTAAATTTTATGTGGGTGATGTTAATGTAGGATACGACTATATAGATCTCTCCTTAAGTAGTTCTATATTCCTTTTAGAGACCTGGTACATTAGATTTGTGGTTTCCTTTGCATAAAGCATTAAAGCTTTAACAGAACTTCATCTGTAAAATCATGAGGATGGATAAAATGATGAACTCTTAAGGTTCTTTCTAATCCTAAGGTCCTATTATTTTGTTAATATTAAAATATTTTCTTGGTAAGACAAAAAATTATTCTTTTAGGCCATTTTCTGTCACTTCAGTTTAGTAAAAAAAAGTTATGATTAGTTGTTTATAAAGCTTTATAACATTGGCATTATATTATGGACTATAATTCTATGTGAAACCTGGTTTTATCCTCTGATCACCTACTTCTAAATTTTTGTTAATGATTCAAGATTAAGATTGGTGAGTATTAATTTAGGTTAATATTCTGCAAAAGGAGTTGAATCAGTCACAGTTTATCATGTTTTTTGAGTAGAAACAATATAGGGTAATGTACTGAGCGTTGTATTGGTCATTATTAACTCTGCCAGTAACTAGCTCTGTGACCTTGGCTCAATGAGTTACACCTTCTGTGCTTTATTTCTAAAATGAATGGTCTGGACCAGAAGATCTTGAAATCAATTCCAGCTTTTAAAAAATTTCTGTGATCTTTCTTTGGATATTGTTGATAGAAGCCTTCTCTGTGGAATAATTTCCCATAAAGTCCGTACGGTTGTAGGATTAAGATATTTAAGTGTTCCTGATTTAATTTAAGTTCAAACTATCCTTTTAAAATCTTTGTTTAAAATCTTTGCTGGGTAGGGAGAAAAGAGGGACATATGTGGAAAAGTTTGTTGTTAGCACTTAGAATTACTTTTAAGATAAATAATAATTTTCTTTTTTTCTTTCTCAAGATGACAACAAGTCTAGATTCTGTGGGAAGAATCCAGATGAGAACAAGGCGTACACTTCGGGGTCACTTAGCTAAGATTTATGCCATGCACTGGGGATATGACTCAAGGTTTGTACACTTGCAGTTTTCAATGTTACTGACAGAATGAAGTTGAGAATCATTGTTCTGATTTCTTTTTTGATAATAAAAATTTGAATATATTCAAGTGGTGTTTAGAACAATTGGAAGATAACACATACACTGTGCAAATTAATTTCCCCTTCCCTGAAAATCTTCATTGATGTTTTGAAAAGCTTTGGCTGATCTAGTAAACTTAATTCTCAACAAATTACATTATTTTAATTATATCCGAGCACTGGCTGGGTTTTTTTGTTTTCAGGAATCCATAGCTGCTGTTACCATAAAGTTAAAAAAGAATAAAACAAGGTATTAATTAGATGTCATTCTTATTTCCTGGTATGTATGTAAGATTTTTAGGCTTGCCATTTTACTTACAATTTGTATCAAATTTATTTTTCACTAGAAACAAGAATAGCCTATATTTTTGAATAGTTCTTTATATTAACATATGCTATGTAACTAATGTGAAACTTTCCCCTAAATGTATGGTTTCTTTTAGGCTACTAGTCAGTGCTTCCCAAGATGGAAAACTAATCATTTGGGATAGCTATACAACAAATAAGGTAGGGTTGCTTCTCCAGGTTCTTTTGTTTTGTTCTTGGGTTTGATTTGCCTTCTACTAGTTGTTTCTTCCATTTTACTTTTCAGCTTTAAATATTATTTTAATTTGCTTCCAATGAATTTAATTTACTTCTGAGAGCAATTTGGAATATTAATTAATGTACTCCTTAAGACTTGGCTTAAATTTGTGAATGTTTTGCCTCTTCTTTTCTTCTGCAATCATGGAAATTATTTCAGCATGATTACTTTTGCAAATGATGTTCAGATTTCAAATTTAAACTTAGGAATAGACCATTTAATATAAAATTTAGCTTTTTAAAGGCCCTTCCAATAGTTTGACAACCCTGGTTTTCTTGATTTTGTTTTATCTGGGTTTTACTTTACAAATAAATTTGTAGGCATATTTTGACATCTCTATCTAAATTTGAGGCATTAAACATTGATGTGGAAAACACTGATTTCTTAAATATCACGTACAGTTATATAACGTGTGTTCTTTGAGAATAGCTTTCAAGATACCATGTTATGCCAGAACTTCTTTATAGAGGTTTAGATTGACTTTGGAAAATGCACAAATCTGAAATCCTAGAAAATGAACTCCATTCTGGACATCCTGTGGAGAGGCAAATGACTTCTCCTTGGTTTCACTTCAGCCTCAGAAGGAAGTGACCTGCACTTGCAGGCTAACTTGCAAACATCTGATGCGGGGTCTTCTCAGGGCCAAGATACAGATATTGTAGAAATTATATGTAGTAAATAGCTATAGCTGGTATAAGGGTATAACACTAATAACACCAAGATTAATGGATTTTGAACCCCCTGCGGCTCAGTTAGGATCACATTGTTTCAGCCCAAGTCAGCTGTCTTGCATGTTACTTCATGTTTGGGCACGAGGATGGATTAACATAAATCTGTGACTGTGGCTAGTGAGGAGTAGCATCATTTTTTTTTTTTTTACATTTAAAGGATTATTATTAAAATTGTATGAAACTAATAGCTATAGAATATTTCCTTTCCCTGTTGCCTAATGTTGTGGCTGAGGAAATAATTCCTTCCCTTATATGTAATATTTCTTTCATCTACAGCCCTATGCATGCTTTGTTCTTTATTCTTTAAATGATCTAGTTTTGTTTTGACTTTTAGTTCTTACAGAACAAATCAAAATTTAACATTTGCTATTTCTAAAATACCACCACTGGGGTTTTGCAAACACACACACCCACCTACCCATGATTTTCCTAGAGAAATAGCTTTATTTTATTGCATTTTTAAGTGTTTATGTTAGTACTCAGTTTTCTAGCAGACTTTGCAGGCTTTATGTAAAAGGGGTGTAGAGAATCATCTAAGTAGAGGGAAAAATGGGAGCCTTGTTTCAAAGATCTTTGATCATGAGAAAATAATAACAATTTATAGTGGCTGCTTTTCTTTCCTTTTTTGTTCACTTTTCCCTCAAATATTTTCACTTTAGCAGTTTGAGTCTTGGGTTATATTTAATTTTGATGTTAATAATATTTGCTTAAGAGTTGAGCAGATCTAAAAACAATGATAACTGTTTTTAAAAAATGAATGTGTTATTGATGCTTTGATATATCTTCTCAAGATGCATGCCATTCCTTTGAGATCCTCCTGGGTGATGACCTGTGCTTACGCTCCCTCTGGGAATTATGTTGCTTGTGGTGGTTTGGACAACATCTGTTCCATCTACAACCTGAAAACCAGAGAAGGCAATGTGAGAGTGAGCCGGGAGTTGCCAGGCCACACAGGTGAGCTACATGCATTATACCTATGCTTGTCCAGTGTGACCCTTTTCCTGGCCTTGGGCCTATTCTGTCATTGTTATGAGCTGTCGTATAGCCAGCAATTAAGTGGCACGGTGGATAGTGTTGGGCATGAAGTTAGGAAGATTCATCTTCTTGAATTCAACAGACTAGCTGTGTGATCCCAGGCAAGTCACTTAACCCTGTTTGCCTCATTCCCTCATCTTTAAAAAGAACTGGAGAAGGAAATGGCAAACCACTTCAGGGTCTTTGCCAAGAAAACCCCAAATGGGTTCACAGAGAGTCAGACACAACTGAAAATGACTGAACTGCTTTGGTGAGCACAGGTGTAAGCAAAATTTGGACTTAGCTGGCTGCAGCATTAGTGCTAACTGGGTGAGGAAGCAGAAATTGTTTGGTATTGTGGGAACCTTTAGCTTTCTGATAATTGGAAAAATAGGACCTTTGGTGTTCAAATTTGATTTCTGAATTTTCTACTGTCATGTAGCACTTTCAGGCCATTAGCAACTGTGTACAGCTACTAAATCAGAAATTCATAGTGGTTATCCAAATTAAGGATTCTTTGTAATGAGATAGGTCCTTGTTAACTTGGTTCTAATTTTTAATAGGAGTACTATAATGATTATAAATAATTTTTGGTTAGCAATATTTACTAGGTATATTTAACCATCTTCATTCATTTGCAAACGGTATAGATTTTTCCAGATACTTTGATATTAAAAGAATGTTTACCATTGAACACTGCTGTAGCAGGCTGTAACCCTTTTGTATTTGTTACCATTGTATATGCACTCAATTTCTGAAAGAATGATAACATTTTCAACTTTGCATATTGCAGGCTATTTGTCCTGCTGCCGTTTCTTAGATGACAACCAAATTGTTACAAGTTCAGGAGATACAACCTGGTAAGTCTGTGTAAGAAGAAAACTGATTAAAGAAGAAAAATTATACATTTAAAGATGGATAATGTATAGGTATTTTCATTTGTTTTTCTACAGTGCTTTATGGGACATTGAAACTGGCCAGCAGACCACCACATTCACTGGACATACTGGAGATGTGATGAGTCTCTCTCTAAGTCCTGACATGAAAACTTTCGTTTCTGGTGCTTGTGATGCCTCTTCTAAACTCTGGGATATCCGAGATGGAATGTGTAGGCAGTCTTTCATTGGGCATGTGTCAGATATTAATGCTGTCTGTGTAAGTGAATGGTGTCACTACAGAGAATTTACCATACTGTGTATAAATAGTCTTGCATTCTAATTTTCAAAGTCATCTGCTTTAAATTATATTTACAAAATGTTGTAATACAGTATTCTTAAGATCTAAGTCCTCAAGGTGGAACCATGGTTCATTATCACAGACATTGGCTTACCTGCAGATAAACCATGTTTTTATCTTAAACAGTCTAGCGGAATATATTGGTTTGGAAAAACAAGTAGTCCTTTGAGGTATTTCCCAACTATATTATTATATGAGAAGAATCAATACTATCTCTTTGAAACTTGAGAAATAAATAGGCCAAGCAGAAAGACATATAAGGATGCTTCAAAAGGAAGAACAGCAATAAAAATCCTAACGGGAAAAAAAAAGTTCTCTTTTATTTAGAAAAGAAAAATCTCAAATAGAAAAAAATTAGCCTAGATTAAAAATTCCTAGTAATCTAATCTACCAGGATTGATTATGTGTTATGCCTATGACTAATGATCCATTATCAAAGAATCACAGAATTTCACAGTTAGAAATGAACTGTTGGGCCATTTAGTCCAGCCAAAAAGGTGGCCCATTCCACTGTTAGAAAGCTCTCATTTGATAGTGTTTCTTTGCATTGAGAATAAATTTGCCTTCTTATAACATTAGAATCAGCTCACAGTTTCACCAATAGTAGTTTATATTAGTGTCCCAGTTTTTCCACATCCCCTCCAATATTTGTCATTTTCCCCTTCTATCATTTTAGCCAATCTTATGGGTGAGAGATGATATTTCAAAGTTGTTTTAATTTGCATTTCTCTAATCAATAATGATTTAGAGCATTTTTTTTTTCACAACTATATATACCTTTGATTTTTTCATCAAAAAACTGCCTGTATCTTTTGACCGTTTATCAATTGGGGAATGACCCATATTCTTATAAATTTGACAAAAAGTTCTCTATATATTTGAGATTTAAGACCTTTATCTGAGAATAAATTTTCCCCCCAATTTTCTGCTTTCCTTCTAATCTTGGCTGTGTTGTTTTTATTTGTACAAAACCTTTTTAATTTAAAAATTATCTATTTTACATCTCACAATGTTTTCTATCTCTTATTTATTCATAAATCCTTCTCCTTTTCATAAGTCTGATAGGGTCTTGTGTTCCATGTTCTTCTAGTTTTCTAATGGTATTTCCCTTTGACCTAGCAATAGCACTATTAGGTAATTTCTAAAATATTTATAGCAGTTCTCTTTGTGGTGGCAAAAACTGGAAATTGAGGGGATGCCCATCAGTTGGATAATGGCTTGTCTGCCAAGAGAGATAGTTTTATTACCTCATTTGCCCATTTTGATTCCTTCAATTTCTTTTTCTTCCATTACTGATATTACTAGCATTTCTAATACAATATTGAATAATATTGGTGATAATGGGCATCTTTGTTTCACTCCTCAGCTTACTGGGAAGGCTTCTAGCTTATCCCTATCACAGGTAATGCTTACTAATAGTTTTAGGTAGATGCTCCTCACCATTTTAAGGAAAAATCCATTTATGTCTATGCTTTCAAGTGTTTTTAATGGGAGTGAGTGTTGTATTTTGTCAAAAGCTTTTTCTGCATCTATTGATACAATCATGATTTTTATTACTTTTGTTATTGATATAATCAATTACATTAATAGTTTTCCTTATGTTAAACCATCTCTGCATTCTTGGTATAAAACCAACTTGGTCATCATGTATAATCTGTGTGACATATTGTTGTGTAGTATCCTGGCTAGTATTTTATTCAGAGTTTTTGTGTCCATATTCATTAATGAAATTGGTTTATAATTTTCTTTTTCTATTTTTGCTCTTCCTAGTTTAGGTATCAGCCCATATTTGTTTCATAAAAGGAGTTTGGTACAATTCCTTCTTTGCATATTATTCCACTAGCATGATTTTCAGTGGAAGATATTAGAAGCTTTCCCAGCAAATATAGAAACAAAAATGCCCATCTTCCCCCTATCATTTGATGTAGTTTTAGAAATTCTCACAGCAGTAAAACAAATTAAAAGACATGAACATGAGCAAAGAGGAGACAGAATTTTTGGTATTTATTAGTGGACATGATGCTTTACTTAGAAAACTTGAGGGTAACTAAAGAAACTGGTAGAATTGATTAGTGGTTTTAGTAAAGTAGCAGGATACAAAATAATTTCGCAGAAATTGAGAGCATTTCTGTAGAGGCATGACAATAAAAAGAAAGAAACAGAGGAATCTCATTTATACTAACAAAATATATAAAGTATCTGAGAGTTAACCTACCAAGACACTTAAAATATGTATAAATACAATTTTAAAACTCTCATTAGACATAAAAGATTTGAATAATTGAAGTTATTACTCATGTTTGGGCCACCTCAGTATACACCTCAGTATAATAAAAACTATGAGTAAGTTAATCAGCTGACTTGATTCTACGCCAGTCAGACCACCAAGGAGCTATTTCACAAAGCTGGACAAAATAATAACACAATTCCTTCGGAAGAATGAAAGGTCTAGAATCTGAAGGGAAATAATGGTAAGACATAGGACTGAAGGAAAGCATAGCACTTCTAGATCTCAAACTATATTGTAAAACAGTAATCATCCAAACTCTTTTGTTTTAGCTTTTTGAAAAAAAGAATAAATCAATTAAACAGTGTAGAAAAACAAAACTAAGAAAAAAAATTGTACGCGTAAACACCGTGTTCAGTGAACCCAACAGTGTGAGCTGTAGAGAGAAGGGTTCTCTGTTCAACAAGGACTCCTGAAAAAACTGTCCTTAGCTTCTCTCCCAGCACCAGCTCATTATAAGCTTTAGTTCTGCTACTCTTCCACATTTTTGTATCTGTCACTGTCCTTGCTTCCATACTCTTTATATTTCAAATCTAAGTTGATGGGTGAGGTTTCTATATCTCCACAATCCGTTTCTTCAGATAATGCATGTTTTTTCTCATCATCAGATATTTCTCTTATATCTTCAGTATTTACTTCATCTTGAGATTTCCCCATTCCTTATGAGTAGACTTCCCCTGTAGAACTGAACTCTTTGGAAGCCTGATTCTCTATCCTCTGAGCTATTTGAAATCTTTTCTCACTAAATCCAGGATTTATGTCAGTTTGTGTCTAGCTTTCCTTCTCTTCTGTTCACTTCCTTCCTTTTCTTCTCTACAAACTCTAGTCAGCATAATTTGTAGTTTATGATTGTGATAGAACACTATTGTGCCATAAGAAATGACAAGCAAGATGGTTTCAGAAAAACCTGGGGAGGTGATGCGGAGTGAAGTGATCAGAACCAGGAGAACATTGTCCACAGTAAAAGCAATGTTGTGTTGATCATCATTTGTGAAAGACGTAGCTACTTTGATCAAGACAATGATCCAAGACAGTTTCCAAAGGACCCGTGATGAAAAATGCTGTTCAACTTCAGAGAGAAAACTGATGAACTCTTCTGAGTACAGATTGAAGCATACTTTTTTTTAAAACTTTCTCTATGTTTCTTGCTTTTTATTATTGTGGGTGCTTTTTTTTATTTTGGCTTTTTTTTTCTTTTTGGTAACATGGTTAACATGGAAATATGTTTGCATGAAAAGTAAACAGACTACAGTAAGTCAGCAAATATTTATTAAGCATTTGCTGTTTGCTAGGCACTGTGCTAAGTAATGGGGATTCAAAAAAACCCCAGCAAAAACACAGTCTCTACTTTCAAGGAGTTCACATTCTAATGGAAGAGACAAGATGCAAATAACTATGTACATACATACTCTAGGAGGGAGTGCATACTTGTCTTTAGGTTCCTATCAGTTCTAACAGAGCAATCAGCTTGTCCTTGGCAAAAATCAGATCTAGGATAGAATTTACACTTATTAGTGTACCTTTGAAGAAAAAAAAAACTGCCGTTAATGCAAATTAGGAAGGTATTTGCTGCTCTGCTTTTGGCAGAGATAACCCAGATGTCTGAATAATTGAAGCCCCCATTGACACTATGAGGCCTATGAGGTTAAATTTGCCTCCTTGCTTTAGAATTTCTGGTAAATCTTACTTTTCTAAACTGGATTCTAAACTGGATGAATGATTTCTTTCTTGGAATTTGTCTACTGTGTTTCTTGAGTGTCTCCACTGCCATTCTTCTACCTTCATTGTACTTACTGTTTATGATAAGTAGCCTGGTGATTGTGGGCAGTTCCCTTTTCCTTTCCCTTTCAATGTAAAACTCTTTTGATTAGATTTGCAAATACCTTTTTAAAGAGTATCTTACTCTTTACTCAGTGCTTTTCTTACAACATTCTTGTGAAGCAGGGAGGGGAGGTGTCATTCTCATTTTACAGAAGTGGAAACTGAGCCAGAGGGGAGTGTAATGACTAGGCATATGCATTCTTAACCAGACCTTGTTAGATGTACTTCATCCCTGGACAAGTGCCTGTCATTCCTGTTTTCTAACCTGTGGTTCAGAAATCCAGATCTTAATTCTCATTATACTATCTCTTCTTATCTACTATCTATCTGTCTTATGTACTCTTAACTATCTTCTTACTGTCTCATATGTTCACAGATTGCTTTTCCTTGATAAAATTACCCTTTGTGCTTCTGAGATCTCCAGTTACTTGCTCAAGCTTTTGTAATCTGTCAGTGCTTTCTAGGTTCCATATCAGTATCATAGAAAAAATAGAAATTCTTTGCTGTGAACTTATTTACCCCTTCACTGTGTCTCAAAACCCCTTGACATCATTCCCTACTCTTTCCTCCTTTATCTAAAGTAGATGGCCTTTTCCCCCACCAAAGCCCATCTTCCTCCATGCACACTGGATCCTTTTCTCTCTGCCATTTCCTCCACCAGATTGTCTCAGTCACACACACTTTCATTTTCAGATTGTGCATAGGGAACATTGAGCTTATAAGACTGAGCAGATTATCAAGTCAGGGGCTGAAGTGAGAAAAGTACCTATGACAGAACCTTATTGAACCCTGCCAAGGAACCTGGAATGGATGAAGACCCAGCAAAGAGTGATCCGAGAGGTGGCAGGGGAACCGTGAGACAGCAGAAGTGCCCTGAAAACACAAAAAGAGCAGCTCTCCTTCGGCCAGTCTGGCCTGAGTGGTCATCAGGCATCACTAACTTCCTACTTGATATTTCAAAAAGCACGCTCAAAGCAGAATTCATTGTCTCTCCCTCCAAAACCGAGCCCTGGGCAGCTAGGTGGTGCAGTGGATAGAGCACTAGCCCTGGATTCAGGAGGACCTGAGTTCAAAAACAGCTTCAGACACATAACACTTACTAGCTGTGTGACCCTAGGCAAGTCACTTAACCCCACTGCCTAACCAAAAAAAAAAAAAAAACAAAACAAAACCGAGCCCTTTTCCAAATTCTCCTATTGCTTGTTGTTTGGTTAGTTATTCTCTCCTTTGTCCCACATGTTGGCCATTTGCGACACCTTGCCAGTTCTCCCTTGACATCATCTTCACATCTGACCCCTCCTTCCTACTCACAGGGCCACCGCCTTCATTCTGCTGTCATTGCCTCTTGCTTGGAGGATGACAGACAGTGCCCTCCTAATTGGTCTCCCTGCCTTCAGTTTCTCCCCACCCCAGTTCATCCTCCACATAGATGACAGAGGGGTTTTTGCTTAAGCATGGATCTGACTGTTATGCCCCCAATTAATATACTCCAATAGCTCCCCATTAGTTCCTCTTTTGGCTTTTACAACCCTACACAACCTACCTACCTTTCTATCCTCATTATACATCACTTTACTTCTTGACCTCTGTGGTCTAGCCAAATGGTCCTTCCTGTTTCCCTGTGCCTGGAATGCACTCCTTTCTCCTCTTTGCCACATGGAATTTCTTACTGCCTTCAAGACTTAAGTCAAGTGCTGCCTTCTACATGAAGCCTGTTCTGATCCTTCTAGCTGCTTGTGCCTTCCTTCCCGAAACTGCCTTGTATTCATTGTGTACTTATTCTGTTTGTACATATTTATTTATATGTTTTTTCTCCCAGGATAATGGAAATGAGTGAAGAGACTTTCATTTTTGTCTCACCACCTAGAAGAGTATCTAGCATATAGTATTGGGTCTTAATGCTCAATTGATGTCATTTGTACCTGTGTGATAATCATCTGTTTTGACAAGTCTTGGGAGATTCTCTTTTAGGTCTTTGATACATGCCCTGAGAAGCAACAGACATATCTATTACTGTTTTCTGGTCAACAGATAGCTGTCTCCTTACAGCTACAGCTATGTCCTGATTGGTGTGAATAATGAATCCCATGAAGTGATCATATGTATCTCAATTCACACTGTTCAGAGTTAAAATTGTGTTAAATATGGCAACGGGTCCCAGCCCAGTGTAAATGCAATGAAAAAAAAATTTTAATAAGTTTTTATTTGTTTATTAAGGTCCTTGAACCAATCAGCACTTGCAGTAACATTGTTAATCCTCCAACAATAGTAGGATGACATTGATAAGAAAAGGCATACTGTCTTTAAGACAGTTTGTACTACATATAGAAAATTCAGGTTTTGGTAGTAAACATGGAGGAAAATATGAAGGTTTTTTTTTATGTTCAGATGTTTATGTATCCAAATATATGATTAGTAGAAAGAACCTAGAAAAGTACTATCTAGTCAAAGAAAATGATTAAAGGGACATTTTCAGATGACTCTGCGAAGACTCCTAAGAATTGAGCAAAACCAGGGCAATTTATACAGTAACCACAATATTGTAATAATGAACATCTTTGAAAGCTCTTTAAGAACCTGATCCTTGTAGTTACCAACCTAAATTCTAGAGGTTCAATGATGAAGCATGCTACCCATTTCCTAACAGAGGTGATAGATTCGAAGTGCAGAATGTGATATGTTTTTGGGCATATGCTATATGGAAATTTGTTTTGTTTGACTCTGCATATTCTTTTTGCCCTTCAGGAGTTAGGGGGTGGAGAGAGAGAGAATAAATTTTTGTTAATTGAAAAAAAAAAAAGATGATCTAGAAATGTTAGCCTGTCTTCTTGACACCTAAAAAGCATATAAAGTAATGTGCTTTAAACCAAACTAAACATTCATTTTTGTTTCATAAGATTAAATCTTGAACTTGTTTTTAGTATTATCCCTAGCAAGTAGATTATCTTCATTAGACTGTGTGGTATTTTTAATATGAAACAGCAAATTCTCAAATGCATTCTCAAACTAAAGTCTGCTTTCATGTCCAGGTCTGCATATGGCACTTTAAAAGTAAGTAGCCTAGTGCAGTAACCATTATGGGCTCATAAAAACCATCTCCTGGGGGAAGAATCGAAGTTGCCTTTCTTTCCAGTTTATTTAGAAAGCCCTACCCTTTATTTTCTTCCTTCTCTTTGCTGCTATCTTATTCGTATGTGAATAAATGAAGTCTGCTGCTTATAAATACTCTATTCCATTAAATCACTTTATGGCAGATAGGCAGGAACCAATTATAAAAGAGATTTGTTTTGTTAATGTCTAAATTTTTATCTAAATCTGACAAACTCCTCAAGTTTTATTAATAATGAGAACCTATACAGTAATAGGTGAGTTGTAGATACTGGCCAATACTGGCCACTTTCACCTGGAAGTAAAAGAAATACTGTTGAAATACTCTTGAATCCAGGCCCAATATTCTCCCTTAGCTTTCATCTCTGACCATCATTAATTAACTTTATAAATATGCAAGCATTATTTGGTTTACCTTTCTAAAAAGCAGCAGGGTTTACATTGAAGCTGTGTAATAGCTGTTCATTTCCGGGAATTATTGCTAGCCAAGCCTAATCACATACAAAATTGGATTCACCGTCTTTGTCATCTGCCCTAAGGGGAGGGCTTTGCATTTGTTTTTGTTAAAGCTTTATGATTGTTTTCTATGATAACTCTTTGAGGCCTTTCTGCAGGTTTACGAATTTAAGATTTTAAAATATTTATCTTGAATTTCTTGGATTGAAGTGTTTAATAAAAGCCATGAGATTTCTCCTTCTCCCTAATAATTATTTCTGGATTCTCTTTTCAGTTCTTTCCTAATGGGCATGCTTTTGCCACTGGCTCTGATGATGCCACTTGCCGACTCTTTGACCTTCGTGCAGACCAAGAGTTGATGATGTATTCTCACGATAATATCATCTGTGGAATCACTTCTGTCGCCTTCTCAAAAAGTGGGCGCCTCTTGCTAGCTGGTTATGATGATTTTAACTGTAATGTATGGGACACGTTGAAAGGAGAACGTGCAGGTTCGTAAATATTTTTAGAGTAAGTTTTCCTTTTCTGTGAACAAGTGAGTTGGATGAGGTACATCAACTTCTAAAATTCTTTCCAACTCTAAATGTACATCCTGTAATCTTTTTATCCCCAGCACTTTGCACAGGGCTGTGCACATGGTAGGTGTTTAATAAATTTTTAATTGAATTGAATAATGGGGCCCTCAGTGTGACCCTGATGAGGTGGTCTTTTTTGCCAAAACAGGTCCGTCTCTATGTCCTCTTGATCCCATCCCCTCCTGTCTCCTCCAAGCACTTTGTCTTAGGCCTTTTTCACTAGAATCTTAGTGATCTCATCAACTCTCATGGGGTCAGTTATCTCTGTGCAGGTGATTCCAAGATCTGTATACCCAGCCCTGATCTCTCCTGAGTTCTATAATCCCATGTCACCAGTTGCCTGTTGGACATCTTAAACGATTTGTCCTATAGGTATCTCAAATTCAACATGTCCAGAACTATTCATTACTTTTACTCCCCCTCCCAAACTTTCCCATTTCTCCATTTCCAGTTACCCTCCTCCCACTCAGCCAGGCTCAAAACCTCTGTGCCATCCTTCATCTGTCACTACCCACTCTTCATTCCACATGTCCAGTGTGTTGTCACAGACACCATTCTAATCCAGGCTCTTGTCCCCTCTCACCTGAGCTATTATAATAACCTAACTAAGCTCCCTTCGTCAGGCTTCTCCTCACTCTGCCCCATCTCATCATCTGCCAGGGATTTTCTTAAAGCATGGGTCTTCTCATGAGAATTAAATGCAAAATCTTCTCTTTGACATTCAGACAACTCCCCTGCCTGGCTCCTTCTACTCTTGCCTTTCCTTCACATAGTCCACAGGCCAGTTCTACTGATCTACTTTCTGTTTCTCAGCCAAGATGCTCCATCTCTTGACTCCGTGCCAGAGATGCTGTCCTCTCTCACCTTTGCCTCCTGGCTTCCTTCAAATCTCAGCTCATCCTGCCTTCTGCAGGGCTTCCCTGTCCCAGGGATCTAGATGGGTGACAGAGCATTGGCATGGATTTCCAAGGGGGAGGGTGCTGCGAGATGGTGACAGAGGATCCTTTAAGTATCTGTGGGGAGCCCAGAGCCTCCTGACCTGACCCCCTCCTCTAGGCCACAGGTCTAAGAGAAAGACCCAGAAGAAGAGGGGAGACCAAAGGTGAGGGGCCAAGGTGGCAGAGCCCCAAGGGGAAAGATGACAATATGGGCAAAAGTAGCGGGGGACAGGAACTTCTGCGGGGGGATAGTCTCAATTTAGGGATGAGAGAAACAATGTAAGGAGGGATGGAATTTACTTCTTGACTGCTTGCTGTGGATCGATCGGGCCCTGTGCCGATTGCTGGGAATGCAAAGAGAAGCAAAAACAGTCCCTTCCATTCTGATGGGGGAAGACAGCACGTAAAACAGGAGCTGAAACAGAACCAGCTAAATGCCAAGTATGGCGGATTAAACTGACCAAGGGGTTCTCATTAGTATCCTTGTAGGAAGGTTCCATGGTGTTTGCCAGGATACAGGAGGAGGGTCAATGGCAGCAACATTCAAAGAGTGAAGGGAAGCCCTGGGCATCTCTTGTCTCTGTGGCTTCCAGCAGGGCAGTACCCAGGATGCTCCCATCAGTGTTTGATTATTCATACCAAAAGGGAAGGACTTTTTCCATTTATAGTTTGTTTTTGTTCACAAGGTGGTAGATACTATTACAGTAAATTCACAGGGCTGTCATTTTTATGGAAATAGTATGTAATACTTTTTTTATGATGGAGATATGTTGAAATTCTCCATATTTTTCAATTTTAAGCTTTTTTAGGTATAGCTTCTAATTCTTTTTCCCTTCCTTATTCTTTTAGGTGTCCTTGCTGGCCATGACAACCGTGTCAGCTGTCTAGGTGTTACTGATGATGGCATGGCTGTAGCAACAGGATCTTGGGACAGTTTTCTTAGAATCTGGAATTAACTGGGTTGTAATGTTTTACATTCTCCGTTGAGATCTGGAGAGATCAATGCTGCAGCCTGTAGCTGTGAAATAACATTTCTACCTTGTATTTGCAGGTGAAGTTTGGTTTTTTTCCTAGTCACTATTACACACACACACACACACACACACACACACACACAAAGGCTTTCTGTAAACTAGAAGAAAATAAAGTGAAGGAGGGGGGGAGGGGGGACCAGTGTATAACATCATGGTGACAGAAAAGTAAATACAGATCCAGTTTTGTTTTGGGAAATTTGGTTAACTTGATCTGAGGAATTTCTGCTTGTGCTCAAAGTCTGCTAATTCTGTATCTTCCTGGTATGAAACAGAATGCACACACTATTGCAGCCTCTCCTGTAACATTTGTCAGTCTGTAAAATATGTTTGTGTTTTTTTTTAAAAGAACTACACTTATAGCTTTGCGTCTTTCTGAAATGTCATATTTCTGAGTTTTTTGGAGGATGAATCAAATGATAGTTTTGAAGAAGCTAGGGTCTTTGTGAAATTGCTCTATGTGGGAAGAGATGCCATGTCTTTGATATGTGGTTGTGCCTATGTGTGGGCGCTGTGGAAGGATGACCTCCTTTTGTCTTGTGAAATGGGCCCAGTGATTCCATTCTGTTACCTAGAGCCTTACTTCTTCAGCCCCTTCCTCTTAAACATTGAGGATAATCTTTTTCCCCTTGTGGTTTCTGGTGCATCGTTTAACACCAATGAACATTACTCCCCAGAATTAATTACATGCCCACATTCATTTGGGACAGATGAACTATGTAGAATCCTGGAAGACGTGCTCTACACTTGCCAAATAGCCATTTTCTTTTCTAGGACTATACAGGAAATTTTAGAATTGACTCTGTATTCAAAAAGTAGGTAGTAGGTAAATGGGCAACAAAGATTTTTTGCACATACTTCAAGGCATTCAATAATACAATGACACTATGAGTGACATGTCCCACTGTGAACTTAGAGAATTGAATTTCATTACACTGAGTTTTTAGGATATTTGGAAATTTTTCAGGTTGGATTTTTTTTTTCTTTGCCTCAGAGATTAAGATGAGTTGTTTTTCCTGTAAACATGAGGATATTTCCCAATATTTCACCTGAGTATATATGCCTGTTTTATGTATAGTTAGTGCAGTAAGATAGCACTATGTTTTGAATGAAGAGCATTATCCCTTGTCTATAGGTCAATAACCTTATTTAAAACCATGTTTCTACAAATTTTATGACCTCTTAATTTAAACTTTAGCTTAGTAAAAATAGCCTGTGCCTTCACATTTTAGTAGATACCAGTGGTCTATGAAATTGAAACATTAATCACTTATTTTGTCTAAATATTCCCTCTAGTGCCAAGTGTACATTTCTTAAACTGTTTTGCTAATAAAAGATTGCATCTAAGCCAAGGAACCTTAAGGGAACCAATCTCAGCAAAGTTTTAAGTATGCTCATGCAATGGCTAAATTTCCTTACCAGAGTGATTTTATTTTCCTAAAATTGGATATGCCACAAAAAGTGGACTCTAAAGACCAGTAATCTTTTGGGGAAAAAAATGTGCTTTCCATCTTGGATTCCTCTTAAAGTCATTTAATTGGTGACGGTGCATTAAGTGTTGGGAAATATCCTGTTGAGTCATTTTTGTGAACTTAAGAGCCCAAGATTCTGTAAGTGTGCTAGACCACAGATTATTGCTGAGACCAACATGAAATTGTGATCACTTGTCACTCCTAATGTCAGCACTTCCAAACTGTGCCTGTAAGTCTGTCTTATTTACAAATACTTAAAGTGTGCCAACCACAGTGAATTCAGTATCAGTTCTATATCATGTGCTAGAAAGAGAATATACTTAAGGCCAACTGGGGAGGTATAGGACCAAAATTATTCTATACTGTCAATTATAAGAATTCCTACGTTTGCATTTTTGTGTGATGACTTTTATGCTGTACTAATTATGTAATGTCTATGTGTATCTTCATAAAGAGCAGCTCTTTGAGGTCAGGCAGAATGTGGATTTTAAAGGTGCATACAGTAACTCTGGAGAAATAAAAGTGTCATTTAGTTCAACGTCATTATGAAAAATGGCTAAAAAGCATTTCTCCTTACCAAATGTCCTTACAAACAAATGAAAGAAGTGCTACTGAAGCCTCATGCCAATAGCCATAATTGCTTTGGCACTTGGACAAGCCACAAGTGTTATAAAGTCACCAACAGATTTTTCCTTAAGTGTTCATTTTAATATCTAAACAATTTGAGTAGACCAGTTTAAAATTACTCTGATGATTTGAGTGATTAAGAGGTATTTGAAAAGTCTATGCATATGATTGATGTCAAAAAGTCACCTTTGTGCTGTGTTGAGTGACTGCCAGTTGCGTCTGAGGCTGTGTTTCAGTAAATCTAAAACAGACAGATTGTCAGGTCCCTTGTTTCTAAGCACCGAACAGCATAACTTGCCAGGTGCTAAATTTATCTGCAGATTGGGATGTCCAGCATGGTTGCCCACCACTTGTTTCTGATATTCTGTTAGTATTCCTAAGATCAGCAGGAAGGGCACACACAGGAAATCTACTGTTGTAGATCTTTGAATGTCACAAATCAAAACAGTGCCATTAGAATTCCACTTATGATTTGTATCAAAAATAGCAATTTCTGATGCCTGTTAGTGAAAATAACAATTTTCCCCAATCCTAAAATTTATTCAGCTGTTTCTGACTGTACCTTATCAATGATTGACATTTGAGCATAGTGCACTTTATAATACTTCTGGCGTAATGAGGTTCCTAAAAATCTTTTTAAAGAAGTCTCCTTTGTTTCTTCCATCTCCAAGAGATTTCACTGGAGCTGTTTAGCAAAGGGCTCAGGTGACTTGGCCTGGTAATCTGTGTCATATGAAGATAAATTTGTCTACAGAGATTTTCAGAACTGTTGAGTTAGGATGAGCAGCCTGCAACATCTGCTGCCTCCAGAAGAGCTGCTCCATCCATGATGATAGGAGGAATTTAAGATGGTGTCACTTTCATCATTGGTAGTCATGGAATATTGTGCCACAGTAACGCAAAATAAACTTGACTTGCTTCCTTGTGATGTTTGAAGGGAACCCTTTCTGCTTTTTGATTGTGTGCCTCATGGTTAAGTTTCAAGTACTCTGTACGCTCAAAATTCATCTTTACATGAATTGGAAGAAAATGGATTGGACTAAAACAGTGAAGTTGTAAGCCTGATGCTGGTGGACTGTGAAGGGCTTCTTTCTAGAATTTTCCTGACCGATCTTTTAGAAGACTGAGTGTAAGCATGAATGGTACAAGAGTAATGTCTGAAACTTAGGATATTTCTAACATCCCATTAAGATAAATAAAATCATGGAGTTAGCAGAGCCTTCTGTCAGTTTGGATTAGCAATGCTGTATGAACTTAGCAGATCCTATAATACATTATAACCTTTAAAATTCAATAAATGTACCACTTGTCCCATTGTGACATCATGTTTTATGTTTATAAGAAAAGCATGAAAAACATTCCATTATTATTTTTCTCCCTTTATTCAAAGGACAGTCAATGCCACTAGATTTTAGTGCTATACTTTAAAATACTGGTTAGAATAGGTATGAATTAGTGAAAACAAATGCATTATCTGCTGTATTCTATAGCAGAATGACTGATTTTAAGATCGCATTTCATGTATAAATTAAGCAAGCATGGGCTGGTGGTGCACCTTGTATTCAGTAATCTGGCATGCATGCTGGTAAAATTTCTTCCTACACTTTGGAGGCACCACAGGCCTTTTTATCCAGTTGCTGGTTATGTAAAATACATGCAGAATGTTAATGCAGTGTTGTAATGGTAAAAATGTGTAAAGTGTTACTAATTGATATAACTGATAACAGATTAAATGTGCCTGACAAAATCTTGTACCACACACAGTATGTTAGGTTTTTGACTAATATGGACTTCAGTGGAATAGTCTTTAGATATTTCAAGCCTTTGTTTTACTTACACAATGGTGCTCTATTCTGTGTTTTTTCTCCTTTCAAAGAGGCATTCGAACACTTGTATACATATTACATCCAAAGGAGTCCAAATGTAATTGGTTTTTAAAAACTTTTGTTTTGCAGTCACTGTATGATAGTCAAATTTCCAATATATTCTCATCTTAGAATATATTTGTTTTGCACACTCTGCGCTGACTTGGACCAGATAAAAGTCAGTAAACATTACAAAAGATAATCGATTCCACACTGCCTTTGGAGTGTGTCTGTATCCAGATAAAGTCTTAACAGCTTTAATTTAAGCTAATAAAAACCAGGGACTTGTGCCGTGCATTCTCCAATAGTGCTTTTGCATCAATGACTTCCCTGTGAAATGGTCACTTGCTATGAACTTCTGTTCATAGCTTTTTCCAATGGATTTGATCTTTGTATTTGTACAGTGGCTCAGTGAAACATGTTGCCATGAGTTGATATTGTAACCAATAAACAAGTGCTTTTAACCAGACTCTTTGTAGCAGAGATATTTTTCCCCCCACAGCTTCCTGTATAGCCAAGCAATAGTAATTGATAATTGTCCTACTTGATAGGACTGGAGTGTATTGTTCTTTCATCTCAAGTGTACACCTTAGCATCCAAAGGGCAGACACGTTGCCTTTGTACTACCTGGGCAGTCTTGGGAGCTAACATTTCCCAACAGTAAATTAAGCTGAATGAATATCTGAAGAATTTCTGTCTTTTAGCTTATTTTATGCCACCAGTATTCTAGGCTAGTTATTGGTAATTTTTAGAAAAGACAGTACCACATGAGTACCAGTGAATACAGGAGTCATTTAACTTCCCAAGAGATGGGACACCCATCTTCTTTCTAGGCAAAGAAAGGAGGTGAAGGTTAAGAGACCCTTTCTAGTAAAGTAGTTAAATGTGGTATTTAGACTTGTTTTAAGTATACCCCACCTCCCCTAAATTAGCAACTGCTTCAATCAAAATGTGTGGTAGCTCTATGTCACTGAAGGCTCAAATGTAACATGTGTTCAATTAATTACTACTCAGTAAGTCTGAGTATTACCAATCAGGCTCAACTGCCATAGAGGTTAGTTAATTCTGCCAAATGCCAGAGTCCTTTTATCCAAGAGTACTCTTCAAAACTAAGCCGCATATGCCGTACTAAGTGGCAGGAGGTCAGAGACCTTGCCAAGATCACCATGAGGAAAGCAGCAAAACTACACAAGGGGAAAAAGTGAACATGTTGTCTCCAAGATGAACGGCTTTCCCAAGAGGCTTGCTGTACCTCTTACAAATGTGGTGTCAATATAAATGTTCTCTATATCATCAGGCAAACAATGGGTATAGCTTTTATTTTTCCCTTGGAAGTTTGAACCACTATAAAATAACTATGTTTGTAAAAAGTTTAGGATTATACAAAGTTTATAAATGATCTTGCAGACATAGAAAATAAACATCAAGTATTTTGTAAAAGTCTGAACCACATTAGTACTAAAATCACATAATTTCTGTGCAAGTCGTAGGCTTGGGTTGGCTTTAGGATGGGGGGTGGGGGACCAAGAGGGTTGGTTTTGGTTCCTTAAGCCATCTTTCCTATTTCCAACATGCATACAACAGATTTCCAAACAATCAGGTAGCAAGTCTTTATTTCAAAGTACTGAAGGAAACTGATGACTGCTGTACTAGTCAGATCGATGGAACCAAGCCACTGCGCTGCCCACATGCACGTAAGGAGCTGGCTCATACTAGGGGCCAGTTTGTGGCCTGAGTGTGAACTCTAATCCAAGACCACCCAGTGTTGCCACTTTTCCCATTCTTCCTTGTGGGCCCTGTCAGGGTTATTAGCAGTCTCAACAACTTTTTTTTCAATTCTGGACCTGAATATTTTATCCTGTTAAACATTTAATCTGCATAAAAATATATATAAATAATTTGAAAGGCTTTTAATGGCCAAAAACAATGCTATTTATTCTTTAAAAATACAGGCACACCTGCCTGGAGAAGGTCAAATAATAAATAGCATTCAGAAGCCTTAAAGGCACAAAAAAGGGAAGCAGTGGATGAATCACCCCCCAAAATCACTATTTACAGTAAAATGTTCTCAACAGAAAACTGCTCAGGCAGCCCTGGGAAGGAGCTCAGCTCTGGTACCTAAAATAAGGGAGTATGAAATTCTCTTCTTTCCCCAGCAAAATGTCAAACCTGGCCAATACATTTTCCCCCGAGAGCAACAGAATTTTTCTTCAACCCCATTTTGGATATAAAAGCAAACTGGACGATTCACCATATACTCAAGCACATGAAAACCTTGGTAAGATGAAACACAAGCTGGCACATTCACACAATGAAAAGGACACCGGGGAACCCTACTTGGCCAATGTTCCACATGAAAGCCCGAGCCCACACAGGCAAGCACTCCCTTCTTACTTCTGTACATGAAAGTATTCCTGACACTTTGGATTCTAACTGCTCTATATGGCTGAACTATTTTTAATCAATCTGGCACTTTCAACTTCATTTCAGGAGTTTCATAGATGGTGTTCCTTTTTTGCTTGGGAAAGAGGATTATTACCCACAAATCCTGTTTTAAGTGAATGACAATTTGATGACAAGGCCCAATTAGGTAGTTGTAATGGGCAAGTTAAAAATTTATGAATGTATTAACAAAAATGATGTTATCTGCATAAATAATAACACTTTAAGACATCCTCCTCTTCTTGGCTAATAGATAAGTGAGTATTTTAAAAAAATAAAAGACTGGTTACTCCCAATAAAAGAGGACACAGAAAAAGTTATTCTGGAAAAAACGGGGCTATAATAGTCTTTCTAATTCCTGGATGCCAGGAAGCAGGGTTTTTCAGAATCAAACAAAACCCTATCTAGGAGCTCAAAAACCCATTCCCCAACCATAGGTCTCACAATCAGTTGTACTTCCCTTCACAAATTCATTATTTTAAATCACAAAAGATTTGGTTCTTTAACCTCTCCCCCGCCCCCATTACAACTAAGGATCCAAACATACCACGTAACCACTGTTAAGAAACAAAGACCTCAAGAGAGATCACTGCCAGAATCTAAACCCAGACAATCCCTATTTCGAGTCATCCTTCATGTAAATCAACACAAGAGTCAAGAGTCCTGCTTCTCCTCTGGGGCCACCAGAGTCTGCTGAGATTCTTCTATTTGCTTGGGTGAAGGAACTGCCTGGTAAAATTCTCCAGGTCGTTTTCAAGTCGAATTGCTTTATTTCTGTTTTTAAAAGTACACAAAAGGTTATCAAAAATTAGCATATGGATCCATGAAAATGCATTCCATCCAATAATTTAGAAAAAATTCTGCTGTTGCTAGAATTCTTGCCACTCAGAAGAGATTCAACAGTTAGCAAACCCTTTCAGAGTATTTCATCATCCTAAAATGTAGCTGCTCTGCGGGTGGCTAAGATACAAAGTCTTAATCAAACTGGACAAAAATTGGCAAAATACATTTCTGGCTACTTATGACTGCCATCAGAATGAAGTATTGCATGTTCCAAAGTCTTGCATACAAGGCTATTCAAATGATAGTCTAATTCAATGTGCAACTACTAACAATTCTAATTGTGGGATTTCTCCAATGGTTTCAAAGAGATAAATGTGATTTATTGGACATTTGAGTAATAGAATCACAGCTTTACCCTTCAAGATCATACAGATTCCAAGTTCGTTTCTGCCTGTCTGGGAAATCATTTGTGTAATTACATAAACTCAATCGGAAAACAATGTACACAACCGTAACGATTTTCCTTATCAACAACGTCCTCAAGTGTACTCTACGTGTACATGTGGGTGTATCAGTACACACAAACAGCTGGATTATAAAACTAGGAAAGGCTTCACTCAGCACTGGACTCCGAAGTGACATTTTAATCCTGCTACAGTCCTAAGAAATAGCTCATTTTTAATACTGCTGGCAGTACTTCCTACTTATATTAGTTTTATCATCCTGTTCAAGGGCCCAGAAGATGGACCACAGAAAACTGATTTTAACTGCCTAGGCAAAATAGTGGGCTAAGAAGATACTTTATTCTACGTATTGATAACATTGCTAACAACTTTTTTCCTATTGATAAAATAAATTATCTCACCCCAACTCTGATAGCAGCATAAAAAATTAAATATTGTACCACCAATTATCTAGTGAATGTTAACATAACCCTCCTACTGAAACAACTAAGAGGCCTTCTGCATTAAGATCAATCAGCATAAAAATTAATGCATTTTGTTACAAAACCTTTTCCTATGACTCATACCTTAAAAGTTTTGAATTGTTTTGTATTTTCTCCAACTGGTCTATTTCTTTGGACAGCCTAGAAATTTCTTCTTCCAGCTGTTTCTGGGTAACATCAACTTGCTGACACAGACGAGCAAAAGTCGTAGCCATTTCCCTTTTAAAGAAAGATTAGGGAGAAAATACTTTAGGTCGTCAGCCTGCTTTACTGAGGGGATAGCACCAAGATGAGATTTAAAATTGTTTATATTAAAGACAGCCAATCATGGGAAAATTGTGAGATAAAACCACACAGCTAAAGAAAAGACACTGAGTCAAGCCTTGAATGTACAAGCCAAACTCATCCCCTTGGCTTATTTTTACGTTGCTTACAGATACTTCTAGCAACATTGTCTTGAAAAACCAGTATTCTTCAATGCCACACGATGGAGCAACACTCCTCTATCAAAGGCGACAAAGTTTAAAACTAAACGCAGCTTTGCAGAACAAACAACTTGGATTGTTCACCACAAACATGAAGAACAGAGTCCTAGAACCACCCAGGTTAACACAAAAGATGGGCATGCTGTCCAGAGGAGGCAGCACTCATTGACCCTGCGGTCAAGAAACCTAGCTTTCCATGTCTCTGCTCTGACCCTGACTAGCTCTTTGGGGAAGGATATTCACTGGATTCACAGGATCTGTAAAACAGAGATGATAACAAGTCTCACAGGCATTGGGGACCCAAAGGTATGGCTAGCGGGAGTTCCTTCTCTCCCGTTCCCACTCAAAAGCCACTGATGTTCGGTGCCAGGTTGCCCTGGTCGTGAGGGTGTGCTGCCTTCTCAGGTCTAAGCACCTGAGTAGCACCGCTACCCAAAGACAAGCAGCCCCCACTGGTGGTGTGCAGGTCTGAAGCTAACTCCTGCTCCCCCCACCACACGGTCTGCTGATGACTTTACCTTCTTCAAAGAAAAGAGCCCCTCTATCACACTGATGTGCTCCAGTGTATTACTTGTCAATTTGTCAAGCCAGAAGTGACTCAGGTCCACTCAAACCCCCAAGGAAGCCGTGACCCAACTTTCTTTTCACTGCAACTATCAAGTATGATTGGCCAGTGCTCTACCTGGGAACTCTACTTAGACAAAAACATCTCAAGTACCTAACTGCCCTCACCCCCACCCCACTCCACCCCTATACCTAGGGGCCCTCTGGCAGGAGAGATGGCTTCTGAATCCACTCACTCCTCCAAGCATTCAGTCAACAAACATTAGTAAGCTCCTACTATGTGGCAGGCACTGTGCTAAGTGCTGGGAATACAAAGAGACAAAAGACAGTCCCTGCCCTCAAGGAGCTTATAGTCTAATACAAGGACTGGTTGCCTAAGCCCAACTGTTAGATACTATGGATGACAAATACTCATACATCAACAATAAAATGTGAAACCAGAAGATGTGACTTGTTCTGTTTTCTTCTCTACCAATGCACAACTGCAGAAGGCTGTCTGTCACCAGAAAATCTTAACTGGAGGCATTTTCAACCTACATGGGTTTCACCTGGTCAGATGCTTCCTAAACCTCTCACTCATAGATGCTATGAAAGGGACAACAATGAGATCCAGGCAACAGGACTTAGGAAAATATGGAGACAGAAAGATTCTTTTCACCCAGGAGTTGTTCACATCATGCTCCATGGAAGAAGTGGCATCAGACCTAAGCCTTGCTAAGAACAGAGAGTGCTTGTTTCAATGTTCTAGTCCTGGATTCGTATCCTGGTTCTGTCTGCCCTCAGTGACTCTGGACATGTGCCTGAACTTGAGACAGTTTCCTCATCTGTGAACTGCAGTGATGGCACTGGAGCTTGAGGTTTCCTCGGGGTACAGACCGTCACCCCAATACTTTTACTAGAACACACACTTTGTGACTTACTGCTGTACTTGATGGCTGCAGTTAGCACTCGTGAAGCTGACGATCATCTGCAGTTTTTCAGTTGCATAGTTTACAAACTGCTGCTTGAAGGCCTTCTCCTTTGCTCGAGTGGTCCAACTCAGCCATTCATAGAGATACAAAGCTCCATACATACTTAGGGAAATTGTTATAAGTTTCCAGCCCACTGTTTTCCAAATCTGCAAGGGAAACAATTATCCGTTACTGTCAACTGAGCTTGGAGCAAACAAAGGACAGAAATGGAGGTACTCCATGGGGCCATTTTAATTGCATGGCTATCTTTGCAAATTCCAAAGTTTTTTTAAAAAATCAATTAAAAAAAAACCAACTAGGGAATCTATAGGTGAAATCCAAGTCACTTTCCTCTCTGCATAAAGGATTAACTCAGGGGAAGAGCCAAGGTTAACTTCTCATCTGCATTACACCCAGCCTGTCAGCTAACTGCTAAATTTAGAGGGCTACAAATATTTCACTGCGATCCTCTCTCCTCTGTAGTCACCTAGATCCAATTCTGGAATCAGTGGGGACTTATGTAGCAGCACGGAGAAACAGACTTTTTCCTTTTGATTTCAAAATTACAGAAAGAATTACACATGCTATCATTTCTACAGAAGGTCTGGGACACCTCTGAGGCCAGTGTTCCAACAAGCTCCCTGGCCTTCCTGGAAGTTAAGTCACCTGCCGCTGTTTTCTCAGCCTTGGGTTCATCGGTCAAATGTGCTACAAGAGTCCTTTCCAGCTCCAAATCCAGCTTTGATCCTACTATACGGCGTCTGTTACCTAGCTGTTTCCTCAGAGGTCATCTATCATGTTGATGGGTGCTCCGAGGCACGGCATCCCAGGAGGCACAGGAGATACTAAAGAATGAAACTCTGAAGCCGCAAAGGGAAGCCATTCCAAAACGAACAATGGCCAACGTGGATGCACAGGGAACTCACCAAGCAGCTTTTCAGATTTTCAAAACACATAAAGAAGATGGGAGGGAGGCCAAGGGACAGAGTAGTCAGTCAAGAATACTAAAGCATAGAGTGAGTTGAAGCTGGACAGGGAAGCTAAAGATAATAAAAACAGTCTTAGCTTGGATGGGATAATGATAAAGATCAAAAGGGAGATGGTCCTATCGCATAGTTCTGATTTTGCTTTTGCTACTAAGGAAAATGACCTTTGTAAAAGATAACATTTCCATAGTGCTTACTATGGGAGGAAGGTGCTACTGTGATTCTCATTTTACAGTTGAGGAAACTGAGGCAAGCAGAGGTTAAATGATTTGCCCAGGGTCACACAGCTACCAAGTGTCTGAACAGAACTAAAATGACTTAACAGGTAGATGACATCAAGAGAAGAACACCTAGTTGTCCTTGATAAATTCAAGTCACCTTCAAGAAAACAGGACCATGAAGGCACTACTGGTGGAGCTGTGAAATGAGCAATCTGGAACCATGTCCCCAAATTCATTAAACCGTGCATATCATTGACCCAGCAATGCCATTACTAGGCCTATACACCAAAGAGATTAAGAGAGAAAGAACCTATGTGTACAAAATGTTTATAGCAGCTCTTTTAGTAGTAGCAAAAAAACCCCTGGAAACTAAGGAAGTACCCATCACCTGAAGACTAGCTTAGCAAAGGATGGTACATGTATGTAATAGAATACTGTTGTGACATAGGAATAAGACTTTTTTTAATATGGCCAACATGGATATTTGTTTTTGACTATGCATATTTTACAAGACAGGAGAGAGGCAGTAAGATAGAGAGAAAATTGATTTTAATTGAAAAAAAAATTTTAATCACTGAGCCCACATGAACTTGGTTTCTGAAAGAACTTATAGATGTGACATCTAAGCATTATCAGTGATATTTTTAAGATCATTTCAGAGAAGTAACACAAAACTAGGGAAGTGCAAATGTCCCAATTATAAAAGGATCATGGCTTTAGAAGCTATCAAATTCAATATTCTCCTTTTACAGATAAGGAAACTGAGATTAAGTGACTTGCCCATGGGCACACAGCTCCTAAGTGTCTAAGCCAGGTCTTTCTGATGCTGGGTCCAGTGTTCTACTGACCACATCACCACGCTTCCAGGTCAGTAACAACAGCTTCAATTCCTGGGAATCATTAATGAGATGACTGGCAAACATCTAAAAGTGGAAACAGACTATAAAAAGCCAGCATGACCTCATCAAGACCAGGTCATGCCAGACTAAGCTCATTCCCTTTTTTTGACAGCACTACTAACTCAGAATGCTGAGGATAGAGCTTACCTAGACTTTAGCAAAGCTTTTTGATAAGGTTAATTCACATTTTTTTTAATATAGGGTTTTTAAAGTGTGTTATCTGCCTTATCTCATTTGATTCATCTAAGTATGATAAGTGGATACAAATATCATCCCATTTTACAGGACAGAGCATTGAGGCCAAGAAGCTAAATAATTTCTTCAGAGCCCTACAACTACTGTGTCTGTGGTAGGATGGAAAATGAAATCTTCCTGACTCTCAATCCTGCACCATTTATTTTTTCTTAACATTCACTTTTTCACTTTTCTATTTCCGTATTTTCTCTCTCTCTCTCTCTTTAGCCTCTTCCCCACTCACTGAGAAGGCAATGGCAAAACATTTCCATAGTAACCATGTTGTCCCCACTTCCCTCCCCCAACAAAAAAAAAAGGCAAGAAAAATAAAGTAGAAAATATACCCTTCACTTTACACTCTGAGTCCAATCAACTCTCTTTCTAGAGGTAGATAGCATTGTTCATCACGATCTCCTGGGAAGTGCTATGGATCACTACTGATCCTGGAACTCACACAATTCTTACAGAGAACATAGAAGGATATGATTCAGAAGGGTATCTGTTAACCATTCAATATCAGTGTGGCAGAAGGTCTCTAGTGGGATGGCTCAGGAATCTATGCTTGGCCCTGAGATATTTAATAACATTTTTATCAATGAATTTGACAAAGACATAGAAGGGGGGTTAATGGGTTCCAAGTTCAGTGAGTCTGCAGTGTGATATGGCAACTCAATGACACAGAAAATGAAGCTTATGGAATAAGGAATTAGAGGCCCAGTGGACTCCACCCTCCTCAGAACTCATCTTAAGTTCTGGGTTTCGTTTAAAGTTTTACGGGATTTAAGAAGGATCAATTAACAAGCTGAATAATGTTCAAGGAGGGACCCCGGGATGGTGAGAGTCTAGATTCCATATTACATAAAGATCAACGGAAAGAAATGAAAATGTTTATTCTTGAGAAGAATGGGGGGTTGGGAGGAGGGGGTGGGTGAGATGACAACGATGAGGCCAACAAGAGGTTGAAGAGCCATCACACAGAGAAGGGATAAGGCCTGTTCTGCTCGGCCCTAGTGGGCAGAAGCAGCAGTGAATGGAAGAAACCAAGAAAAGCTTCCTAAAGACAAGAGCATCCCCAAGGGGAAGGAGCTACCTCCTGGGGGGGAGGGGCTCCCCAATTCGTAGAGGTCTTCCTCCAAGCCAAGGCTGGTTGACCCCTTGTTAAATATGTCAGAGCTAAAGATGCCTTTCACACATGGGGGGAACTTATTGGCCACTGAAGTACCTTCCCAACTCCCAAATGTTGTGGTTCTGTGACAAAGGAGAACTCTCACAAGTATGTTGAGACGCATTCAACATTCCCATACGCTAGAGATAATCACAGACAAGCTAGGTTTCACTGTTTCTCAAACAAAATTAAATTCATTTTCTCTATCTTAAAATCTGACAGGCAGGAGTCTTACTTCAACACACCTACGGGATTTGGAGCTACAAAAACAAAAATTATCCAAGGTATTTTATTTTAAAAGCTCATTTCAAGCAAAATGTTGGAAAAACTCATGACTTTTCATATTGCTAACCAACATGATAGTCTTCAATATTAAAGAACTTGTTTCTAAATTGTATGAAGACTACCTGATACAGTGTACATCTTTCATAAAGATATGTCTACTTATGATAAGGCTTACAGAATGTTATTGCAACTGCATGTTTTTAACCTAAAAACTTCCAAATATTATTGCTGGGCCTTTTCCTGGTCCTACAGGCACTCCTGTCAAAATGTTAGCTGTGGTTAAAAGACAGAACAGTGTTACTTGCCACTCCGCCAACGAAAATGATGCCCATAGAAGTCCTCGATGTTAAAGAAGCTAAGCCCGTTACGAGGGTCACCATCAGTTCTTCCTGAGACACAACATCTGGTGTTGCAGGATTAGGAGGAGCAGAGGGAGTAGAAGCGATAGATCGAGGCACCTGGCAGCGTGGGGAAAACAAACAGAACAGAATGGTCATGCATTTACAGAACCCCGTCTGGTTCTCTCAAGGTGGCACAGCTGGGTAGACAGAGAACCCAGCTTTAGCTCTGAGACCTGCAGTTCTCTAAAAGCTGTTCAATTTTAGAAGGAAAAAATGGGTCCCCTTCATGAGTAGGTCGTGAAGTTCTGAGTAAAATGAAAATGGAAGCATGACGACAGTGCCAAAAAAAGGGGGCCACCCATCCCCCTAGTCCATCCCACTTTCAAAAAGCCAACCGTGAAGAACTTAAGAAATAAGCCCTGCTCCACATGCTGGAAGAGTCTAAACTCTTGTTTGGGACTGGGAGAGCCAGCAAGGCAGCCTTCCTCCAGACAGCTCCTCCCTATAAATGAGCTGATTAGCTATATCTTCCCTGCAGATATGAAAAGGTCGAATGGAAAGAAAGACAAGCAGTCGTGAGTAATCAGGAGCAGGAAGGAATCATCTCACAGGAGACAGTGCAGTCATGGTGGTGCGAGATATCAATGGCTGCCTTTTATTCTGTGGCCTTGCTATGTACTCTCTCTCTGTTAGAGAAAGTGTCCAAACTGACATCCCTTCTGCCTCTTTCCTCAGCACCTTATAAGACTGTGGCACAGTCACACAAAGGCACAAGGTCCTCAAGAATTCAGGCAAATAAACACCAAGGGCCTAGGATGAGGTCGGTGCCCACAGTCAAAACTACTCCCATTGTGCAAGTCAAGGCAACTTCCCCCCCCCCCAAACATGTACCAGAGATTAAAATTCAGACGTTAAAACCTTCAGAGACAGAGAACCACCAAGGCCTAAGGAGGATCGAGTCTAGCCTATTTGCTCTTAAATACAGCTGATGACCAGACACTGTGTGGCAATCAAACTGAGCAGCCAGATTGACAGTAACTGGTCCATGTGCTAAAGGTATGACAAATAAGTGTGCCAGTTCTGATTTTCTAGTTTGTAGCAGAATTTTAACAAGTTTTACCTTACCTGTAAGATGGGCTCTGATAATCCTAAGAGAACCCTCTGGGCATTCGTAGGCCCCAAGAACCGGCTAACCAGGGATGACCACCCCAAGGAAAAACGAAATACAATATCTTCTTCAAAGTCAGAACACAACTTGTGACAGTTCAAGTCGTAGCTGAGATCAAATTTCTTACAAGGGATTAATACATGGAGCTTATTCTGTATACCGGTAGGAAGCAATGGCTTCAGATTTTCTAGAAAGTAAAACAAAAACAAAAACAAAAACGCTCCTTTCAAGGACGAGCAGGCTTTGTGTGGATTTTTTTTTTTAAATTTCAACAATATGTATACAGTAAAATTATATTTGTACTTAGAAGTATGTGAGACAGCAGAAAAACTACCATAATGTATAAACTCTTAGCAACTAGAGTTCATAATTAGTAATATAACTTCCAAACTTAACAGAACACTCAAGGACAAGGACAAGCACAAAATTTGTAGCAAATGACAAAATAAACCCTACAAGTTTAAAAACAGAAGTCTCCATCTCAGGACACCAAAAGTATTACCAATCATTTCCTGCTGCGATTGGTGCATTGAGGCATTGACTTCAGTGGAACAGCGATCAGCCAAATTTCTTCCCATACCATCTTCTATGTGCTTGTTTAGTTCCTGTTGTGACATTTATATAATAATTTTTCATAATCAATTAAATCCCAGGTCTGGTATAAAACAGTTTTACAACATAAATCTCTCGACTATAAGATAAAAGCTAACAAAATTTTTTATTTAGATTAAAAATTGTTCCAAGTTTCTCCATAGTTTCATAACCCAATCTTGTACCTAACACACACCCAGACTCCCACCCCCCCCACATACACACCCACACACATACTCTCCTCTAAAATGATTTCTGCTGCTTTTCATCCCTGCCTTCTTCAACGGAGAAAGCCTCTTGCTTTAACTTCAATTAAATTAAGCAAACATTATGCACCTATGTGTAGGGCAGTGAGTTCAATTGAATGTGCTGACAGCCCTAAAATTGCAAATATATTAAAAGGAATAAAAATCCCAATTAATGTTTAGGCCAAGTTAGATATTGTATGGAAGAATGAACTCCATTCCACTGACCAAGGCAATGACAATTATAGTTGTAAGCCTAGTGGGTGAACTCTGTCCTTTCTAACTACTAACTTGACAAGTAGCTTCTACATTTGACAGAGAGAAATGAAGACTAAAAGCAAATAAAGGCTACGTGGAGGCTAAAATGTGAAACTGGTCTTTCCTAAGAGCCTAAGAGGTACCACACCACACAGCAAAGATTATATCCCAACAGCACAAAACAAATAGAAAGAAATATCACTCAAAAGAACTGTGTGGCTATTCAACTTACAGTTTTATACACTTTGAGCACACTTGGAGAAGGATGGAAGTCAGAACAAAACTCATCAACCAAAAGGGAGAGACGACAAATTTCATCCGTCATAGCACACGAAACCTGAAAGCATTAGAATGAGTCATTCAACTCAGAAACATCTCAACCATCACAGAAAACCTCCACTCCCAAAATGAGACCCTCAAATCTATTTTTAAACATACCTTGTTCTCTACCTCTGCTGTAACCTCTTTGATCTTTTTCTTAACATCTTGTGTTAAAAGATTCATCTGGTTTCTAATAAAGTCCAATCTGTCCGTCTGGTCCTCCCTCTCCTCCAAGGAATAAATCCTAAGGTAGCATTAAGGGACAACAATACACATTTAAGGCGCAGACAAAGGAACAAAAGAAACGAAGCTGGCCTAAATTTGCTCAAAAATGTATCCAATAGTTTTAAGGCATTACAAACACTAACAGCTAACAATTTACATTAGAAATAGGTTAGATTATGTTAGAAAGTTGAATGATTAAAATAAACCTAACTCAGTCACTGCTACTACTGCTACTACTAACATGCTAAGCTCCATAGATGCTAGGGCCACCCTCCTTTCTGATCTTCTTCAATGCCAGAATCCAAGGGGGCACTCCAATGTTGGATGAATCAGCTGATTTATGACATAAACCATATTTTGTTTTCAAAGGAGCACCTGGGAAATCCTCAAAGGGTAAAACAATCTGATTTATTGATCTAGGTCAAACAAAAATTCTTTTGTACAAGTTGTTACAATAAAGCTCAAATTTCCTTAGTTTAATAATTCTATGGCACTATAAAATAACCTGAGAAAAATCAAAGATTATACTTTCTACCTAAGAAAAATGATCCCTTTCCCTGAAATGGGCTTCCACAAGAAATTGTGACTGTCCTATGGGCAGGCCTGGTTCCCTTCGTGTCTTTCTCTCCTATCCAGAATATAGTCCAATACAGCAGGCTACTGAAAATGTTATTTTCTGCCTTATAAAAAATAGGAATCTCTATAACAGTTGATTTTGTGTGCCCAAAATGTACATTTGAGTCATAATTCCTTTGTAATATATATGAACATGATCATTCATAAAAGGGCACAAGAGGATACTTCACAAATCAAAGACAGTTTTGGAATGATATATTTGATCGTATTGTTACATTTTTGACCAGGGAAGTGTAAAACGGTTACCACAAACTACCATTCTTTCATTGGAAGAAAGGGAATTCGTACCTTTTTTCTGCGGCTGCCACGTTTATTGCATCCATTATGTTTTTCACAGTGTCTATTATCTGTTTAGCTCTGATAGTGTGCTGTTCAAACTTTGTTTTCACTGCTGACTGCGAGATACACTCCTGCGAGGGCCCAAGCCACAACACATCACTGTAATTCCATCCCAATATGTTCAGGAATTTAAGACAAAAAACTTGCTGTTGTCAAAATAACTCTGCCCCCCCCAAAATAAAAACAATCAAATAAATCAAAGTACCAAGCATTTGTAAACTCAAAACTTAAAAAGATTTTGAACAGCAAGCCTGGATCTTTGTGTATCTTTTCACAGTAATGTGCATTGTCAACTGCATAACATAAAGATTATAAAAAGAAAGCAGGTAAATATGGATACATAAGGGGCTAAAAACTCCAACATAAAGAAGCACAATAATTTCTGCCCTATGGATTTCTTGATACTGTGAACCTATTTAATCTCTTTAACCTGATGTGGTCCAATTTTATATATTACCAGGCAGAATAAAATCTTTCTTGGGGGGAGGTGGGGAAGGTGGGCAGGCTCCCTTCAATTTTGTTCATGATTCTATCCCTTGCTGTGTGAAAATTTCTAGAATCACAGATTCATACCAAGTGCAAATTTTGGAAACTTTTACAAAATTCTTGTAATTTTCAGAACTATGAATATAGATGTCTAGTTATAGACAGCTACAGCTATAGTGTCATCATATGACTCCAATGATTTACTCTCCTAAATCTAAGGTCAAAACCAGTTGGTTTCATTTTACCTTTAACTCAATGTAGGGGTTAATATTAATAACCTTTATATTCAAACAGCTAAAATTTTATTATGTTTTCAAAACAATGCAAGAAACATCGCATTGTGCCAAATGATCTGATATGAAGGAATGTTTTGCAGAAAAACACTGTTGCCCTCTATGACACTGGCTTGGAACTGGTGGGGAGGGACTAAAGAGTCTTAGTTTTCATGAACATAACTTCTTCAACATCAATTTTCTGCCTGTACCACTTCTTGAGAGGCGCTGCTAAAATGAGCTCCCTAAGTTGAGTACCAGGGAGATGAAGACTGAAAAGGACTGGGCTTGAAGGAGACACTCTGCCTACCAGTGAAGGTTGGCATCTTTTGTCCAACCTTTAAAAAAGAAAAAGTTCAAGGACTTCACTCTCAGTCTGAGAGAGCTATATAGGACACAAAGTTCGTGACTTGCCCAAGGTCACTCACATAACCAGTATGTGTCACAGGTAGGACCGGAAAGGAGGTCTTCTGGGTTTTGAGGCCAGGTCTCTCTCTATCCACTGTCTCTCGCTGGGTAAAAATGGCACTCTCATTTCTTTGTCTTCAAGTCCTCTCTTTCAACCATGCTTGTTGAATTGGTTTCACACTTCAGAAAGATACCCACTAGACCTGGTATCACAATTTGGTAAATAACTCTGTGACTACACCAGTCATTCTTCATTATTTCTAAAACTTTGACCATATTCCCTTAACTTTTATCTTTTCTTAGACTGAATATTCCTAAACCACTTTAGTTTACCCTCCCTCCGTATCTACCTGTCTTGTCTGTTATATCTATATATATAACAAGAACTACTCAATTGGAGGACGTGAGGGTATGGTGTGAAGGGTTCTTAGAATCAAAAACTTCAAATTTAGGATGACTCGTGAATGGATCCTTTTCCTAGGTCTTGGCTTATTAGCTGATGAGCTCTAAGCTAATGCCTGTAAATTCCTGATCCCACTCTAAATCAAGCTGAAACTCCACTCCTACTTTGCTATCAAGGCCTCTGTTCTCATATCACCTTGGGAAGCCTGATGATACGGTGTGGGACAGACTATTATTATTTTTGACATAATCGGGTGTTGAACACCAGAGGTGTCAAACTTAAATAGAAACGGGGCCACTAAACATGGCTAAGAATCCCTGAGGGCCTTAGTGACTCAGAAAACCATTATGTTATGTTAACTTTACCTGTGTTTTACTGTATTTTTATTAATTTTGTTAAATACTTTTCAATTAATTTTAATCTAGGGCAAGCTAGGAAGTTGTCTTGTGTTTGACGCCTCTGTCCTAAACAACTGCCCGTTTTTACTTAAAACTGGCAGCAGTGGGTGTATTAGTTTATGATGTCAACATTAAAAATGAGACCAGCTAATTTTTTGGGGGGAGGGGGGGCCACCTAGGCAATGTGGTTAAGTGACTTGCCCAGGGTCACACAGCTAGTAAGAGTTACATGTCTGAGGCTGGATTTGAACTCAGGTCCTCCTGAATCCAGGGCCAATGCTCTACCCACTGCGCCACCTAGCTGCCCCTGACCAGCTAATTTTTAATCGGTTTTAAACTACCTCCTATGGATACACCTCCCAAGTTAAAATTACCTTAAAATTATATGATGAAAGCAGAAAAGACAAATTTTAAAAAGAGAACAAAAACAAAAAGAATGATTAAAAGGCAGGCAGTGCTCCTCGATGAAGTAGATCTAGGTTTCAGCGATGAAGATTCAGTTTTATAAGAAACAACACAATTTAAGAGCTAGACTGGGGAGGAAAGAAGAGCTCCAAAAGCTAGTGATACAAATAGAGACAGATTAAGTTTAAAAACAACAACAACAAAAGACCAAGAATAGGAGAAGACAAATTTCTCTGTAACAAAATTGTCATTTGATTGTTTTTTAAAGTAGTTTTAAAAACAAATGAAATCATTTTGTACTACACTTCAAACACAAAACCCTTAATTAAATTTGTCAAAAATAGCATTTTTGATCCATTCACTAGTGGTTCTTTACAATCTGATTCATGTGCTTTTCTGTACAAATCTTTGCAAAAGATAAAACTTTCCACTCACCCCTTATGTATTCACTAAAACAAAATACGATACAAGAAGATACTTTTTTGTTGAGGCTAATGGCAGCAAATTAGCAAAATTATCCACTGATTCTGGTACATTTGTGTTCTTGGCCTAAAAGCTACACTCTTTAGGAACACTTAGCACTTCCAAGAGTCTCCGAAAAGAATAAGCAGACCAATTCTTGAGTCCAAGCTCACTGCTTCCTTAGCTCTCTAAGCCCACCTAGATGCCTCAACACAGGGAGCAGTCATTGAGCTCTCCCAGGCGGCAGAAAGTAGCACCCCACACAGTGAGTGACATGCCTGGATTTTGACCTTCCAAAGGCGAAGGGATTTCACATTTCAAAAAGCATATTGGCAAAGGTCAAACAGTACATACATCATTTCTATGTGAGATAGCGATATAAGTGGAATAACCTCAATTAAGGCCTACTTGACTACAAACAGCCAAATGCCTTTTAAAGTAGTGATTGGGCAGAAGGACAGTTCACTGAGCAGCCCAGAGTTACGATATCAGCTGCAAGCAACAAAAGGAACACCATTCAGATTTCAAACTTGTATTTAAATCATGAGTGCCTGCCCTAAACGTTTACTAGATATAACTATAAAATTACCAATAAAAGTATAATCAATAGTCCCCAATCAGAATTGGGCTGAGGAGATAACAGAAAGGAATAACATCAAGGGTATTTTCCTTCCTAATATTCAACTCACTCCAATTAGGACCAAACTAGTTCCTAAGATAAGTCAATCATCGTGTTTTAATACATCCATTTCCTTCTACATTAGCTATTCTGTGGTATTAATCATACCACATGATGAATCTTATAGACTCTTCCCCCTACCTTCTCCATAAATCATTACAGAAAAGCTAGATGTGTTCATGGGGATGGGCCACTAGAGACACTGCTCACATAAGGCCATGGCAAAAAAAAAAAAATAATAATATATCTGAGGTGTTCATTTTGCAGCAATAATTCCAAGCATTTCTGAAGTATAAAAAAAATTGTTAACGACATGATTAAATGCTTAAGTTGCTTTCAAGTCACAGTTTACCTTGAAAGCTGTTATCTAAGATTAAAAAAAAATTTTTTTTCCTTCTAACTGGCCTTATATGATTGTTTTTAATGTACAAAAATCTGTCTCCCATATATTTGGGGTCTAGCCCTAAGCTGAGGAGGTCTGGTCCCAATCTGTCATGCAAATTAGCAGACACTGCTTAATAAACTGATTAATAATAATAAACTGAGCATTGAACCATTCCTCAATCATTTCATCTTTCACCTAAAATAGTCTAACAACGAATACAGGAGGAAACATTACCTTTTATCCTTTTCCAACAGATATTTCTTTGATGCAGTTAATTGTCTGCATCATATATCAACTATATCCTGTTTGTGCATGTGTCTCATTAGCTACAGTTAATGATGTTTACCATATATCATTTTACATCTTTTAATGGTTGAGGTTTCTTAAATGGTTTTTATGTTCTCATGTATTTTGTTAGTGTAGCCAGTGCTAATAGAGTAAGCATTTCCTTTGATTGTATTGCTTTTCTGTATAAAAGTCTTAGAATAAAATTTAACTGAACTGGTACTATACAGATATACTATACATCTCCCTTGCTTAACAAATTAAGAATCTCTGGATGTAAATGACTTTCTTTCTGACTTCCACAACCCAATGCATGTCCGCCTCTTCTCTGCAATACACACTTGGGATAGCAGCCTCCTCAAGAAGCCAGAAGAGCTTATGTGTCCTCCCAAGGCCTCAGATGCTATCTTTCAGAAACAGTACTGGAACCCCAACTTTTTCTGACTCTGAGGCCAGCTCTCTATCCACCATACCAAACTACCTATCTCTAACTGTAGTGATATATGGGGATAAAAATCCACACACACTCACAACAGCTCAGGGTTTGGCAGAAGACCAGAAACAGATGAAAACCCCACATACGCATGGTCAGCCTAAGGTGGACAGGTCAAATTCCATGGCTACAGCCCTGTAATAAGAGACACAGAGCAGACCCTTGCCCCTCAGCCTTTGTCCATCCCATCACATCCCTCAGTGTTTGATGGCTGGCAGGGGAAATGAAGCAATGACTAACCCCAGAGCCAAGAGGCCAATCAGAGCTCCTCAGGTAGGCCTCCCCAGAGAGACCATCAAAATTCTTAACTTATCTGGGGGCTCTCCTAGTTCTCCACAGAGCACATACTGTAACTCTATACTGTGCAACTGTATTATCATCCCTCAGCAGCCAGAGTACAGAGAGGACCCCAACATAACCAGAGGAGGCTTTCGGTTCTAAAATTTAAAAATCTCAATTCTGTAGGCCAAAATATCATGTTCCAATAGAACACAGGAGGGTTTTATGTTCCTGTGCTGCTGTAAAATTCTTATTTTACCTCGCTTTTCTAGAGGTCTTCTTGTGCTCTCTAGATCCCTCTACTATTAGGTTTGGTCACAAAGATGCTAAACAGGAAAGTAAGGGCGATTCTTCTCTTCGACCTTTCCCTGACTTTTGTATTCTGATCAACCACAACTACCGGACAAAGGCATGGTTTACAAACTTTTAGGAGAAAAAAAGTGAATGGAAATGCTCAAAGTAGTCTGGTAGCTTTGTGCAGGAAGCATATTCAAAATCTCCTTTTTAGCTTCTCCACAAATAGCAACAAATAGCATTTCTCTAGTCTAGAAAACCCTTCCAGACTTTTCAAAGTGTGTAAAAGGCCTTTAAGCTAGAAATGCTTGGATATCAGAATGTTAATAAAGACTGTCCAGCAGACTTGACCCCAAAACAGAGAGTACAGTGAGAATGTTTTTTCTTCAACACAGATCAGGAATAAAACATAACACGAACTTTCTCTAAAGTATACACAAAGAAAAAAAGTGCCCTCCTTGCATTCTCCACTGTCCAAGCTTAGAAGTTAACTAGGTCCCAGATTCTTCCTCTCTTCTATTCAGCCTTTCTGCGATACACAAAGACTGACTCGCCAGGGTGTTGGAAAGAATTAATGGGAACAACAGCAAGGGTTTTGGATTATTTTACCACCTACCTAGAAGTTGGAAATCCCAACAAATCCTACCTCAAAGATTTGTTCAAAGTTCTGAAACTCCTGGAATCTTGTCTGAAATCCTTCAGCAAGGGCCCCACCTGTAATATTTAGGTAAAGATTCTATAATAACAAAATTAAATAAGTCAAGATCTGCAATAAGCTCATGCTAATAGCTCACAGTTAACAGGGATCCCATCAAACCCTTTCTGGTCAGTGCTGCCTACCTCCCTCAGGCATCCCTTGTGCCTTTTGCTTTCGTGCACTGAGAACTTCCTTTGCTGAAACAAAGAAGATGCGATTCTGTGCCTCAGAGGGATCCACCACTTTGAGCTCCTCCACCAAGAAATTCAAGCAGCGCTCCATGTGCTGCCGTCGCACCTGCACAAAGTGAGAGCTTTGAAAAACCCATGACGCCTTGGAGAAAGAACAATGGCCAATCCAGTTTGATCATATGCAAAAAACGAGGGTGATCGCTAACATCCCCTGCTGGCTTCATGACCATTCCTCTAAAGAGGTTAAGAATCTTTCTACTTTAAACATCCACCATCCACTGTGGCCTTTCTCCAGAGCCATCTCCTGTCCTTCAGGTCCATTCCACAAGACCACCAAATTAGGTATATTCACATTTTGGCACATCCCTCATATTATAGTCCCATGTGGAACAATCTTAGACTAAAGCCTCCTGGACAGCAGGTGGTGGTTTTGCTTCAACATAATTCATCAAGTCCAGGAAACTTTCCTCCCATGGCAGCTAGGTTTGCAAAACTACATTATTTTAAAACCTCCAGAAGTAAAACTACTTAGAAAGAAAAGGAAAGTATCTTCTAATCTTCTTGCTCTGTATTTCTCTTTAAAGGGTTCATGTTAAGATCCAATCACACACACTTCATTTCATTCAACAGCGGTGTTCACAGACCAAAGGCCCAGCTTTTAAAATATTTGGCTCTATAATGTTGATAGATTTCCTGAGCTGATAATTCAATGCTTCTGTGATCACTTCAGAAATTAAGGAAACATAACTCACATCTTCCATATATTCTGGTTCTGAGGCAGAGGCATCCCAACGGTTATTCAGGATAAAGATATTAGGCTTGGAAAGTCGTTCATTTACCTTGTGAAAAAAGTGTTTTTCCTAAAAAAAAAAAAGGCCAAAAAACACAGAAACCTCACTTTTTCAAATACATTTACATATTGTCAATTTACATTTAAAAGCTAAACTTTAGTTACTGTGCTGCAAGCATTTTAGATCTCTCAGAAAAATCTAAACACCTACAGTAAAAGGATCAAATGATTTCACATGCATATTCTAATAAAACCAATTCATAAATGGGGAAATTAAGAACTGAACTTACCATACTCTGAGAGAGACCTGAGGAACACCCTAAATGCCTTTATGCTGAATCCCATGAGTCCTAGGACTATGGTATCATCCTAGGTCTCTGTACCCATTTAGAAAGGAGTTGAAGGGCAAGCTAAGGCAAGATGGAAAGGCTAACACTGATCTTTGTCCATGAATTTAACAGTGGTTTGTTTATTCTCTGACTTCTAATTAAACGTCCTTCTGTCTGGTAAATTCCCCTCAAGACCATCCCAACCTAACTCAACACTACATCTGTGTCTCAACGAAAGAAGACCCGAGTTAGCCTCAAACACTGTTGGACAACTGGGCAAAGGATTGGAGATCTCCTATGGCAAAGCAGCCATGCCCCAGCATGTACAAAACCGCCCTGATGGTCAGAGACCATTTGTCTTCTCTGAAGACAAAGGCAACCTTTCTGTTCTGGTCCCTTCACCTTCTTTGTCTGCCAAACACTCCTCTGTCACTCTCAAGTCACATGGTCATAAGAGGGCAAGGGATGAACAAAACTCCTGTTGCCTTGGAAATTCTCCCAGAGACAAGTCCTCATGGTATGAGAGCTACTAACTTCCGCATAGCTCCCTAAAATGTCATTTGGGTTTTTTTCCCCTAACTCTACCACTTTTCAAAATTAACATTGGCAGAATGTTTCCCAACAGTAAAAGAGAGTAATTTGCTCAAATCCTACCGTGTTCATTAATGTTGATTCTGAATTTGCTACCAAAACGAAGACATCAGCATCTAAACAAAATTTATCAATCCAGCTATCCAGCTCCGTAGTGACGTCTGTGCCTGGACTATTGGAGTAAAATAAAAACTTGGTTATACAACAAAATACATTTTTGACTGAAAATTCAAAGAATTAATTTTCAAAAACCCTTACACTATAAACTGAAGACATAAATGCTAAGTAAAAGTTAGTCTGTAGTCTCAATATGGTAAGTCATCCAAAACAATTTCCATAAAGACCTGGTTTCTAGTAATCAGCTCAAGGCTTAGGATTTAAATTACTTTCTTGCCTGTAAGAATGAGATTTATTTCCTAGGTTGAAAACTTGCAATCTGCACAGTGTTTGTTCTACTTATCAGGCTCCACTGCTGACAACTCAACATGGTTTCCAAATACCATGGCCATTTGAAATTGAAAAAAATATTTAATAAAAGTATAACAGTATTTCTATTACTATGGACGTGAAAAAAGTAAAGCTGTGACTGATCTGGGCCTCTTCGGTGCAAGGTTCTAACCAAGTTAGTTCTGTAAACTACTTCTTGAAAAGTGATTCCTATTTAAACAACAAAAACAAACAGTCATATGTGGAACACTAGGTTGTGGTAGTACCCAGTAAATGTTACAATTTTTTTTTTATGGCTAAGATTATTCAATACTAGTGTACAGGGCACAAGAATTTGATTGAGGCTATTTTAAACACATTGTACAACACGATTTAAAAAGGCTGATGTTTTGTAAAATGGAGAAAAATATGAATGGGAATAATTAATAGACATCTAGACAAGTCATATAATTAATTTTTCAGCCACAGGTATTCAGTGAAAATTAGGTCAAAGAACAACTCAAAGCTGGCTAACATGAGTACAGCTCTATGGTTCAAAGATAATCAGATTCAAATGCAGAGTCATGTAATACTTTCAACAAAATCCAAAGCAAGAGTGATAGAATTTGCAACTCCCTGAAATTGTTACAAGAGAAATGGACCTGAGAAAGGGAGGAAGAAAATTTAGAACTCAAAAATTTTTTAAATGAAATGTTAAAAACTGTCTTAATATTGAATTGGGGAAAAAATAAAATATTACTTAAAAAAAAAAAAGAGGGTTGGAACAACCAAGGCTGATAGTTCATTCGTGAAATAAGAAACCAAAAAACTGAATACTTTATTCTTTCCGCTTTCTAATCATATAAAACTTTTTCTCTGTACTACATTAAATGATACTCTGATAAAGTCAACACATTTTAACCACAGTCTTACCTGTCTACTAAAACCAAGTCATCTCTCAACAGTGCACACTTTGCCTTAGGCCAAAATACATGTACAAGACAGCCAGCTTTCAGGTCCTTGTCCATATGAAGAGCATGGGCCAGCTGGTTCACAGTCTAAAAAGAAAACAAAAGGGTTTCGAGATCTTCAAGTGCTACAGAAATCAGGGTGAGCTCTTCCTTCTGCTATATCTCTATGCTACTGTGTAGGATGCATTTTCCACTAAGGTATCCATTTTCCAGGGTTATTTCTTTGTCTGGAATGCAAAGTGTGTGTACCTGAACTTTACTCTTCAGAAATATTTAGATCGGGATGTAAAATGATAGATAATGTGGATAAAAACCATTTAGTGACTTTGCACTAGCTATTTCGGCATCAGCTTAACCTGAAGCCTTCCTGCCTTCAGCATCATCCTGAGAACTCAGCAGAGCTTTCAATATCTTAAAAAAAATCCCATGATGATATATGAGTAGGCAGAGATTGGCTGTAAATTTCTTCCTTGAGATTAAGTGTTGAGTATTATAACTTTAGGCCATATGTGGGAGTACTTCAGAGGGCCAGCCTTGGCATCAGGAAAACAAGGGTTCAATTCTACCTTCTGACACCTGACAGCTGTGAAAGCACCGGCAACACCTACTTCTCAGGGACCCTGGCACCAAACTCTCTTACAGTAACTAAGTACCTGAGGAGTTGCTGGTCTGCTGTGTGGGAGAAGTTTGTACCTTTTCCTGATGAAAGGTCAGGACCAAAAGAAAAAACCAACAAAAAGGAGTTTAAATAGGTATATTTGTGTTATTGCATTTCTGCATAGGTTTCCTAGCACTGAAATGAAAAATCCTTAATTTGAGAAGAATTCAAAATATCAACTATCGATGATTACAACGCTAAATAAACATTTCCACAGAAAACATCTTAGTCCTTGTCAACAATGCAGAAAGTAGAGCAAAGAGCTGAAAAGGCTAACACTTCCCAACAAGTTCTACGCTACCAATGCCCACCTTGACACTTTTCTTCTCATCGGATCCTTCTGTCATCAGATAGGCTTTATCCCCATCTGTTCCTTCTACGCTCAGGAAGCAGTTTGTTGTGTGGCCGATGCCACTGGGAAGAACCTTGTCCCATAACATAGCATTGATGACGGAGCTCTTGCCACTACTTGTCCTGAATTGAGAGCACAAGAGGATGAGAAGCAGAAAAATACTTTAAGAATAAAAACTCTTCCTCTGCAAAGGTATCTGGGGCCTGGGAGATTTTAGGACTAAAAATGACAAACTGTATGATCATGCCCAAGGTCTCAGAAGATAGATCCCCTCTCCCTTCTTTTCATGCTTAACCCTCTAAATTTAAAAACATTAGTTTTAAAGGTTGGTGAGTTTGAGGGGAGGGGGGGGAGAAGGAGATGAAATCTAAAATATGAATATCAAATTATGCCTCTTTCATAAAGTTCCCTGACTAGTTGAACTGGGAGAAAAAAATCATGAAACTGTTCACAGGATCCATTACAAATCTGTTACACGTTCTTAACTGGATGCTAACTACGGCCAGGTAACCCTTTTATATAGGGATTCACTCCCCCACTCCTCAGAGGCTTTTCCAAACCTTCTTCTTTCCTCAAAACTCTGAACCCTGACTTATATTTCATAGAAAAAAATGGAAGCCATTTACCTTGAGCTCCCTCATCTCGAATCACTCATATTTCTTTGCACATTATCTCAGCCTTCACCATCTCTCTTTTTTTTTTTTTTTGTTTTTTTGTTTTTTTTTTAGGCAATTGGGATTAAGTGACTTGCCCAGGGTCACACAGCTAGTAAGTGCCAAGTGTTTGGTCTGAGGCCACATTTGAACTCAGGTCCTCCTGACTTCAGGGCCGGTGCTCTACCCACTGTGCCACCTAGCTGCCCCCCTTCACCGTCTCCTACAAAGTGGCAGCCCTTCTCCTTGCCAGGGCAAACCTACCTATACACACACTTGATCCCATGCCACCCTGTCTTCTTTAGCAGACTGTTCCGTCTATCATTCTCATACTCTCAATAATCTTAATCTCTCCCAATCTATTAGCTACTTTCATGCTGCCTAAAAATACTCCCAAGACCCCCCTCCTCAAAAAAGCCTTCACAGAATCTATCTCCCTAGCTATTATCCTAGTCTCTCCTATTTCCAGCAGTACCTCCACTTTCTTTCCTCTCACTCTCTTCTGTCTATATACAGTACTGACTTTGCTGATCTCATCAACTCCCATGGTTTGAATTACAGCCTTCATGCAAATCATTCTCAGATCTCTTTACCCAGCCCTCAACTTTCTCCTGTGCTCCATCCGCAAGTTTCTGTTCACAGGACATCTCAAACTCAACCTGCCCATAACTGAACTCGTTCTTTCTCCCCAAACCCCCCTTTCTTCCTAACTTGAGATACCACCACTCTCTCAAGTCATCCAGGCTTGGAAACCTAGGTGTCCTCACTTCCACTCCCGCCTCCTCCTCATCCAATCTTTGGCCAAGTCGTATTGATTCTACCTTCACAGTATCACTTGATCAGCACTCTTTTCTCCTGATATTGCCACCACACTGGGGCAGTGGCTAGAGTACCAGTCCTGGAGTCAGGAGGACCTGAGTTTATATCTGGCCTCAGCCACTTGATACTAGCTGTGTGACCCTTGGCAAATCACTTAACCCCCAACTGCCTCAAAAAAAAAAAAAGAATGCTGATATTGCCACCACCCTGGTACAGGCCCTCACTCCTGGACCTTCCAGCTGGTCTCCCTGCTTCACATCTCTCCCCACTCCAGTCCATCCTCCCTTCAGCTATCAAATTGATCTTCCTAAAGCTCAGGTCCATCCATGTCAATCCGTACCCAATACGTCCAAAAAGAAAATCCTGTCTGACTTTTCAAGCTCTTCGTAACCTTGCCCTTCCTACCTTTCCAGGTTTCTCCACTCTCTGCCATCCAGTGACACTGGTCTCTTGGGTGTTCCCGGCATAATTCACTCCTCCTAACTATGGCTTTTCACTGGCCATCCCCTATACTTGGAATGCCTGTCCTCCTTCCTTCTGCCTCCTGACCTCCTTCAGGTCTCAGCTAAACATCGACTTTCTATATGAAGTCTTTCTCAGTCCCTCTGAATAGTAGTGCCTTCCCACTAAGACTACCTCAAATTGATTCTGCCTAGGACCCATTTGCATGTGATTGTGTACGTATTGTCTCTGCCATTGGACTGTGAGCTCCCTGAGAGCAGGGGCTGTCTTTTGCCTCTTTGTAACCCCAGCCCTTAGCATAAGGCCTGTTGTTTAAGAAATACTTGCTGACTTCAGTCAGCTGCTAGTCATGAGGTTCCTAACATCAGAAGTATCCTCAGCTCTCCCGTGCCTCATATCCAATCTGTGGACAAGCCTTGTCAACTAAACCTCCACAACAGATCCCACATCTAGTTCCTTCTCTTCACTCACAAGGCCACTACCCTAGTTCAGGCCCTCATTCCCTCTCACTGGAATATTACAAAGCCCTTCATGAGAAGGCTTCAGCTCACCTTTCCTGGATTATCAGTCACCTTCCTTGCTCACCACACAATATAAACTCCTTGAGAGAAAGGACTATTTTGTCTTTGTATTGAAAGCACACAGCACAATGGCTGGCACATGGTAGACATTCAAAGTCTGCTGAATGTCTTTATTCGCCAAACTCCTGGCCAGGTAAGAAACTCCTAAGAGTGATTCAAACCAGATTAAAACATAATTGGAAAATATTTAACAAAAATAAAAATAGAATAAAATCTAGATAATACATTTTAAAATTCAGTCACTATGCAGCCTGAAGGTTTGAGTTGGACCTTCCCCCCGCAACCGCCCTTCCCTCCACCTCATCTTCCTGGTGTTAAGACATCCCTAACTGCTTTTCAAGCCACAAGAGACCCATGTGCACATGAGCTCTAACACAGCCGTGTGACCCTTGGCAGGCTCTTCCCCTCTATCTCTGAACTTCAGTTTCCTGTCTGCAAAGTAATGAAGTTGAAGCAGAGAACTGCTAAGGTTAGTTTCATTTCTGATCCTGTTCACATCTGGGACTATGGAAGGGGTCCAGTTCCCCACCTGGCTACAAGCAACGGTGAGCTTTACTCTTGGCCCCCTGCCTTAGGCAGCAAGGAACGAGACCTCAGAAATAGGATGAGGTCTCCATCTCCATCCCTTCCTTCTGTTGGCCAAGGGACACCATGCCCCCAGCGACTGCCTTCTCTAGTATAGCCAAGGTATATGAGAAGAGACAGGAGGGGAGTATAAAAAAAATTAACATAAATGTTTGCTGAACTGAATAGCCAGATTGGTAGTTATGAGACAGATCAGGATTTGAGGGCAAAGATCAAGTCAGTTTTAGACATACAGAACAGGGCAGACATCCAGAGATGGAAAAGTGAATCTAGAGTTTGGGAAGAGGATGAGACTAAAAATATAAATTTGGGAATCATGTGCTTAGAGATCATAACTGAAGCTGTAAGAATGGATGAGATTATCAAAGAGAAGTAGGCATTAAGAGAAAATGAGAAAGAGAAGCAGGACAGCGGAGTGTCGCAGGAGCCCCAGAAAGAACATCTAGAAGGAAGGGTGCAGGCACTAGTTACAAATGTGACCAAAACATCAGGGAGGAATTAAAAAAAAAAACTTTAAAAAAGGCTATTAAATTTGGTAATGAGGATGTAACTAGTGACCTCTGAAAAAGCTTTCAGTAGCATTGTGGAGACAGAAACCATGATATAATGGACTGAGTGGAGTGACTGGTTGTGAACAAGTTTTCTAAGAAGTGTGGTGGTGAAGGGCAAGAGAAAGATAATGAAAGTTGGGATAGGATTGAAGAGTCAAGGGAAGCATTTTTCAGGACTGGAGATAGGCAGAAGGGAAGGCGCTGATAGGAAGATCCTGGAGGGGGTAAGAAATGATAGGATCAAGAGCACAGGGAGAAAGATTAGCTTTAGCAAGGAGTAGTATTACCCCTTCCTCATTAAAATGAAAAAAAAAAAAAAAGACAGAGAAAGAGTGGTAATAATGAGCTCTAAAAAGTAGGGGGAAGGGCAGCTAGGTGGGGCAGTGGATGGAGCATCAGTCCTGGAGTCAGGAGGACCTGAGTTCAAATACGACCTCACACACATAACACTCACTAGTAGTGTGACTCTGGGCAGGTCACTTAACCTCAACCACCTCACCAAAAAAAGATTAAAATAAAAAATAAAAAGCAAGGGGAAGATTAAAGTCTGCGGTAAGTTGAAGAGAAGACTGAAGGCTTGAGAAGGGAAAAGATCTAGGTGAGTGAAACAGACCAGGCCCACTAGTTACCCAAACATATCAGGCACTCAGCATCACATTCTTAAGTACAGTGTGGTACAGTGGAAAGACCAGTGATTAGAAGTCAAAATATGGAGGCTCTGATTTTGTCTATCATTTCCTAACTATGTGACTCAAAGTAAGCCATCTTCCTGAGCCACATTGTTCTCATCAGTAAAATAGGTCTAAGAAAACACCTGCCCTGCCTAACTTAACATTCTGGACATAGCACTCCACTAGGCATATCTCAGGCAAGAGTACTGTCCTTGTTATGGCATACAGTTGACTAGGTTAATCAACATCTTCTCTGGGCTGTGAGTCTCCTCACCCCCATACTTTCCACTCCAACCATGTAATACCTTAAAATACTAGCATCATACTGTGCCAGATACTTCCTAATGAGCACAGAAGAAAAAAACAATGACCTTCACACATGATGACTCCTAAATTCTTTTCATCTCAAAGCTAAGAGCAATTTCAGCTTTCATGTCTTTAATAGATAAAAAATAATCCTACTTCACATATATTTGTGAATTACCCATTCTGTATTTCATGCTGAAGAATTAAGTCCAAATGTGCTCACTGGCCCTAACCAAACAAGTTTCACTTATACAAAAATTAGCCATAAGAAATATAATTTACATTTTTATAGAAAGGCATTCCAATAGTATAATCCAAATTATCTACTAAACGCTTAAGTGCTCTGAAAATAATTCACTTATTAAGAGAAAAATGAACAGAATTTGACTTGCCAAAGTTGAAAATTTCAATAAAGGAAATGGATTCTTGTTTATTTTAAAAACTATATGACACTAGGAAAAATATAATTACCTGCCAAAAAATGCCACTTTCATGTGTCTCCGGGCCAGCACCTCACCAATGACAGATAGCTTATTTTTATAGGCCTGTATTTCTGCCAGATCATCCTCAGTGGCTATCTGTTCAAGTTCTGGATTCTTATATGTTGCTATGAAATTAAGGAGGTATTAGTATGCAGAATAAGATATACTGCATTCTAGATTAATAATACAATAGACAGGGTTTTACATAGTAATTACAGCCCTGATATTTCACCTCACACCCTGCAAATTGGAAAAGATGACAAAAGATAGGAATGGTCAATGTTGGAGGGGTGTGAAGACAGGCACACTAGTATACTGCTGGCGGAGCTATGAATCAGTACAACTATTCTGAAAAGCAACTTGGAATTAAGCAAATAAAATGTCTAAAATACCTACATTTTTTGATCCAGAGATTTTATTACAAGGTTTACACCCTAAGGAGGTCTTTGATAAAAATAAAGGCCACACACACACAAAAAATGTTTCTAGCCAAGCTTTTTGTGATAGAAAGAACTGGAGATAAAATGATGCCCATTGGTTGGCAAATGGCTTAAAAAAAAAAAAACCCATGGTACATGAATGTAATGGAACATTACTGTACTGTACAAAATGGTGAATGTAATGAATTCAGAGAAGCTTGGAAAGATCAGCATGAAATGATGCAGAATGAAATAAGCCAAGGCTAGAAAACAATATACACAATAACTAGAATTTGGGAAGAACAATGTAAACAGAAACATATACATACCCACAATCAAAAATAAATTTGGCAACATTCTAAAGAACAAGCATGGCTCCAGAGAAGAGACCCAGCCCTATCCCCACTCCTGCAGAGGGAGAATGTACATTAAGAGTTGTACCCTGCATATCTTGTCACTCTTTATTGATCAGTTCTGCTGACATTTCATCTTATACTATCTGTTATATGGGACAGCTCTCTGGGAAGGAGAAGAGGAGGGATATTAGCGGAAACTGATGAAAAAAATACATCAATAAAAATTTTTAAAAAGCTTCTAAAAATGTGTTTGTATCTATATTTGTTGTTGTTTGGTCATTTTTTTGTCATGTGACTCTTCAATGACCCCATTTGGGATTTTCTTGGCAAAGATACTGTAATAGTATACCACTTCTTCCTGCAGGTCATTTTACAGATGAGGAAACAGAGGCAAACAAGGCGAAGTGACTTGCCTAGGGTCACACAGCTAGTGAGTGTTTGAGGTCAGATTTGAACTCAGGAAGATGAGTCTTCCTGACTCTAGGTCCAGTACTTTATGTACTACGGCACCACCTAACTGCCCTGTACTTACATTTACTTTAACTCAGATAATCAGCAAGATATTTGTAAAGTAATGAGACTTCAAATGTATAGAGTATACTGAGCTCTTATATATGGAAATCTGATCATCTAAGGAATGGGATATATTTGCCAATGGCCAGATGAGGCATGCTCATGTGTATTTCAAAGTCTTAGGGGCAGCTAGGTAGCTCAGTGGATGGAGCACGTGCCCTGAAGTCAGGAGGACCCGAGTTCAAATTTGGCCTCTCAGACACCTGATACCCACTAGCTGTGTGACCCTGGGCAAGTCACTTAACCCTGATTGTGTCACCCAAAAAGAAAAAAAAGGAGCAAAGTCTTCCAAGCAAATTTCTGAAGACCTCACAAGAAGCTTTAGAGTTTGGTTTCTAACTCTTTGCCTTAAGTCAAAGGCAATCTGCTATTAATGCCTGTATTACTATTAGCCCTTTTATCTGAGTGGGCTGAATGATCTAAGATAGATTCTCATTTTTTCCCATGATATATATTGGGCAACTGGGCATTTACCTGGGACAGCCAGCCAAGTTCCTGATATGGGAGACCGTACCATCCTTTACTTAGCTATAGAAATAATGAATCCAAAACTGGCTGGGTTTCAATTTAGTGAGGGTGATTGTTTCCACCTATTTTCTTGGGTTTTTCCTCCCTAGCTTCCTAATTTCTTTCTTTCTTCCTTCCTTTCTTTTTTTTGGATCCATTTTCTCATTAGCTTTACACTTACCTCTTTAACAAGAAGCCATTAGGTGCTAGCAGCCAAGATTTTTTCCCCTACTGGAAATAATGATTTTTTAAAGCCAACACCATTTAGGATTCTTCTATCCCTGTAGTGGTTTCTGACACCATCGATAGCCTGGAAGTTCCTATCCCATGCACTGGGTATCTTGGGATTATGGAGTCTCTCTCTATCCAAAAAAATCTCCCTGATGTCCCTGAGAAATTCCAGCACTGTCAAAGACTCAGAAATAGCTGGGGTGGGAAGTTCTTCATTCTTCAGGGATCACAGATGCACAATTGGGTGTCATGTCATGTTATGTTATACTCCATGTTGTTTTGCAACCCTGACTTTCTTAATTTCTAATAGAACAATTAAAAAAAACCCTTTTAATTGCCCCCCCCTTCAAGTTTCATTCACAAAGTAATTAGTGACCTGGAAAATATCCAAATAGGGACCAAGCTAATTTTGCCTTTTTTACCATTAAGCAAAAAATATAAAGCAATTCACTGGAGAAAAGTGTTACTTCTGATTTCTTTTCATTATAACATCTAAAATGACATAAACATATATATCATTCCATATCTATATATAAAAAATATACGCATGTATATAAAATCAGAACACATTATTAACTCTGAGGCAAGCCAGAAGACCACCTATAACGAACCTGTTATACATTTCACTTTCGTGTCAATTTCATAGTCAAACCTTGAAGGCACAGGGACCTACTGAACAGTTTCCTCTGCTAAGATCTGGAACACCTTTCTAGAGGATTCAGAAACTTGTTTTTGAATCTTGACTACAACAATAAATAATGGTATGGCCCTGTAGAAGTTACGTGGCTTCTCAGAGCCTCAATTTCATTATTTATAAACAGGATCATAAGAGGCACAATCTTTGTAACTTTGAAGTAAAAGATTAAAGTTAGGAGGGACCTTTACCGGCCACATCTTCCTCCATTTCACAGATAAGGAAACTGAAGACCAGAATTGGTTCAATGACATGTCTCTATAAATCCAACTTTCTTCTGCTTCAAAAATGTAATCCTCAAACTCCTGCAGCAAAACACATTTGCTCCTCCAAATATAGCTTAAAACAATACAAACTTGGAAAACAAATATTTTTTATGTTTAGATTTATATTAAGTCAGGGAGATTAAAAATACATTTTAACAAAATTTTCTGGAAGCGTGGAAATATAATTCACATATATAAGGATCTTTATAAAAATGCTTCTAACACAATGCTACACAAGCAACTTTCTAACAACTAACCTTCAACAAAATTTGTGCCCTCGGTGACATACTCCAGTAACTGTTGAAAGATGGCGGTAATGGTCTTTTTAGCCAACACAAAGTGCTTCAGTGGAGAAGTGGTTGTTTCTGCCATTTTTAACTGTGAAAAAGATAAGATATTTCCAAGATGGCTAAGACAAAGGCAAGCACAAAGACTTCAGTATAGTTTAATGAAGTTGTTAAAACATGTAAAATCCTTTTTTTGCTGGTGTGGAAATATACTCACCACAATGCTAGTCCTTGGGGATACAAAGTCAAAATTCCATTCTAATGAAGAAGACATCTATAGTTACATACCAAAGAGATAAAAAGGTAATCTAGGGAGAGAGCAGGAAAGGCTTCTTTTACACGAGGTTTAATTTTGATTCCAAAGCACGGCCAGCCACAGTCCCATGTGCCAAACCTTGTGCTAACAGTTGGGGATACAAAAGAAAGAAAGAAAGAAAGAAAGAAAGAAAGAAAGAAAGAAAGAAA